GCTAGGTTCAAACAAAGCAATAAAGTTTTCTCACTATTCCCATAATTTAATAAGTTTTCCCACAAGACAGAAATTGAACTAGACCCATAATTTAACAGAAAGGGAACTGAGCTAGATCCAGAACTGAGACCCAAGATGGGATTAGTGTGGTTTACTGCATTTTCACAGAAGCAAGCAGGACGAGTAACATAGAGGGGCCAGGCACACAGGGACCTGGCTGGAATGGAAAGGAAGAACACATGGGAGGCAGACATATGGGGGCCAGGGACAGACACCCAGTATTCAAGTAAGGATGGATGGGAGACAGAGATATGACTAGGCAGAATAGAGCAAAGGTTGCCTCTTTTAGTGCTCCAGTGGTGGTCTCTCCACCTGTCTGTTCTCTATGGTTTCACTTGGAGGATTTTTTTTTAGTATTTTTAGTTTTTAGCTTTTTTCTTTTTTTCTGGTAGGGGTGTAGGAGTGGGAGGCTGTGGAGTGGCAAGCTGTTGTACAGAAAAATTAACATAGTTTGCTTTTTTTTGGAATGTGGATTTCTTTCAGAATTCTTTACATCAAGTCAAATTTGTGTACACAACTTTAGATAAAATGAGAAATGTCAGAGTTTAATTCTACACCATCATCCTTTTTCCAGTTCCTTATCCCTTTATCCTATAAAAGATCTTGCCTTATGAGTCCTTAGCCTTAGATCACTCCTATCATCTGCTGCCTTCACTCCTATTCACATGCTACTGAATAAAGCTATAGAAAATCATGAAACCATGCTAATCCACTACAAATTTATGATATACAAACACAACTGGGCCCTTGCTGAGGCTCTCTAATTTTATTGAAAAAAATTGAGGTGATTCTCCAAGAGTTCCCTTTTGTCCCCTCCTCATTCATCTCCCATAACTCAGATGCCTTCTTCCACTATTTCTCACACGAAAAGGTGGCTCTTGTCCTTGCCAAGGCAAACCCCTCTAACAAGAAGAAGTGATCCTAAGCCCTCAAGTCTTCTCTAGCAGATTGCCCCCTCTATAATCCTCATTCTCACTAATCTCTAATCTCTCACTCTAAAATGGTTCCTTCCCTACTGCCTACAATACATGCCCATATCACCCCCATCCTTAAAAAACCCTTATTTGATCCTTTTAGCCTTGCTATCACTCTCTATCTCATCTTCCTCTTTTTTTTATTCTTCCTAAACTCCTTTAGAAGGGCACTTACAATATGTGTCTCCACTACCTTTCCTACCACTCTCAACTCTTTTGCAGTCTGGCTTCCAAGCTCATCATTCAATTAACTGAAACTGCTATCTCCAAAGTAACCAATGGTCTCTTAACTAGCAAATCTAATGGCTTTTTCTTGATCCTCATCCCTTCTTCACTTTTCTGCAATATTGCCACTGTTGATCATCCTCTTCTTCTTGATAATTTCTTCTTTCTAGGTTTCAGTTCCACTACTCTCTACTGGTTCTCCTCCTATAGGTATGACTATTCCTCAGATCCCTTTACTGGATCTTCATCAAGATTATACCTATTAACCATAGATGTCCTCCAGGGCACTCTCCTGGGGCCTTTACTCTTCTCGTTCTACATTATTTCACTTGGTGATCTCTTCACTTGGATTCTATATTTATGCTAATGATTTCCTTTTTAAAAATATTTTATTTTTCCCTATTTACATGTAAAGACAATTTTTAACATTCATTTAAAAAATTTTTTTGAGTTCCAAATTTTTCTCTTTCTGTTTCTCAACCCCTTCCCCCCTGAGTTAGTGAGCAATTTGATATAGGTTATACATGTCCAACAATTATGCTAATGATTCAAATCTACTGACTGAATCTTAACCTCTCTCCTGACTTCCATCTTACATCTCTAATTGCTTATTGGACATCTTGAACTGGATGCCCTCTAGACATCATAAGCACAACATATCCCCAAACCAAACTCATTAACTTTCCCTTAAAATCCTTCCCTCTTCCTAAATTCCCTCACTGTCTATGGAACCACCACACTCCCAATCTACCAGACATAGAACATAAGTGTCATTCTGTCAAGAGTATCACTGTCCTCCTACTCACCCAGACTTGCAACCTAGGTGTCACCCTCAACTCCTTCTCATCCCTCATATCCAATCATTTTCCAGTCCTATTGATTTGACTTTTCTGATACTCTCATATACATCATCTTCTCTTCTCTGACAATGCCACCACCTTCACAAAGGCCATCATCACTTCAATGCCTCCAGGTTAGACTTGTCTCAAATCTCTTGCCCTTCACTCAGTTGTCAAATCTATTTTCCTAAAGCACAAGTCTATGTTCTCCCTACTGTTCTCCATCCCCACCCCTGTAATTCAATCAACTCCAGTAATTTTCTAATTCCTCCAGGATCAAATATATATTCCACTGTTTGACTTTTACAGCATTTTATAACCTGGCACTCTCCTATTTTCCCAGTTTTCATAACACCTCATATACCTTAACACCACATGTACTCTGTGATCCAGTGACACTGGCCTCCTTATTGTTTTTAGAACAAGACACTCTATATTCAGAACCCAGCCATTTTCACTGGCTCTTTGTTACCAGTCCTAGAATTCTCTCCCTCATCATCTCTGCCTCCTGGCTTTCCTGGCTTCCTCCTAATCTCCTTTAAAATCCTACCTTCAAGCCTTTCTCCATCCCTCTTAATGCTAGTGCTTTCCATATTTGATTATCTCCAATTTATTCTGTATATATCTTGTTTGTATGTTGTCTCCCCTACAAGATTATGATGTCTCTGAGAGCAGGAACTATCTTTTGCCTTTATATCCTCAGCACTTAGTGCAGTGCCTGCACACAGTAGGTGCTTAAAAATGCTTACTGAGTAAATTGTGATATTGCACCTCAAAAAGCTAAAGTAATCTCAGGTTGTCTTAATAGATACAAAATGCCCAGGACTAGAGAGAAGATAGTCTCCTTGTACTCTGCCTTGGTCTGACAATATTTTAGATGTCACATTTTAGAAAAGGTATCCGTAATCTATAGATGTCAACTAAGATTCTTTCCAAATCTAAAATTCTGGGTTTCCATTAAATGTTTACTAAATGCCCTCTACAAAGGCATATTCAGATGCCTCACTGTGCCACACAGTTGACGTTGGGCTGTCAAAGGCTATAACAGTAATGTGAAAGTTTTGGCAGGTTCTACCATGTTGTCAAGGTCTCTGACACAGATTGTATCTATTTCTCAAGGACCGATGAAGAATGGCAACGCTGAAACTAAAAAGGATGTCCACTTAGAGAAGAATCTTTTGATTATGGCCCCTCAGGAAACCAAGAAAAATATGTGGCCCTGTGTGGTCCACTTTGGTTTCTGCAATTACAGTACTAGAGTATTTCAGAGACTGAAGAGGAGAAAAGTATAAAGAATTACACAAAGAACTACAGTTTTTAGACTATTTATAAACATTAACCTAAATGTTGTTACTCTAAATGTGGTCTACTTATTCAGTGATTCACAAAAGGAACAGAATCGTATTAATCTTGATATTTAATATTAAATATCAATCAAAACCAGAATAGAAAAAGATATTACAACTAAATGGAAGGATCCTAGGATAATCCTTTTATTCTTCCCTGTTTCTCTATGATATTCACTAGTGGCTATTTCAAACCTTTTTTTTTGTCCTTGAGCCTCCCACTCTACTCTCCCTGCACTTCTTCCCTACCGTCTCAGCAGAGGATCTCATCTCATACTATACTGAGAAAATAAGAGGCTATTCCTTTTGGAAAGGCCTTTCTTCTTTCATACATCCCCAAACTCTTTGACATCATTAGCCCTAATCTTATTTTTAATTCTACTGAGATGAAAAAGTGGTCTTTCCATCAAGGCCATGCCTTGATCCTGACTCTTCAATCTCCTCCATCAGATTACTCCTACAATTAGCAATTTTCAATCTCTATCTACTGATTTCTTCCCCTGGGAAGACTTGGGACATGCCTAAGTTTATCCTAACATTTCCTCCTGGTCTTATATTTCTCCTCTGTTCCATAGCCAAACTCTTAAACATGCTGCTTCCACCTTTTCTCCTCTCATTCAATTTCTAGTCTTTTGAAATCTGGTTTCTGACCTTATCATTTAACTGAAACTTTTTTCTCCAAAGTTACCCAAGATTTCTTAATTACCATTATCTGTAGGTCTTTTCTCAATCCTCATCATTCTTGAATTCTTTGCAGCATTTGACATTGTTCTGGATGCCTTCATCTCTCTAGTTTTGTTTTGTTTTTTTTGTTTTTGTTTTTCAAATTACTCTCTTGCTTCTCCTGTTTAACTATTCCTTTTCTGTCTAATTTACTGGATCATTTTCCATACCATGTCCTGTAATAGCTGATGATTTCCCCAAAGTTCTTTTCTGGTACTTCTCTCTTGCCTCTTTATACTTAATGACCTCATTAGCTCCTATGGGTTTTAATATCACTTCTTCAGAAGTTAACTACTGGAGCTCTTTATATCACTAATATCTCTCCAAAGCTCTAGTCACTTCCTGATCCATCTCCTCATCAAGCTTCCTATGCCCTGACTATCATCCTCATCTCCTCCCCAGTGCAATCAAAGACTGCTAGCTCCTCTGACACTAATTAGTAAACTTTTTCCTTATCTTTCTACAACTAGGACCCTGTGATAAATCTCCACATCACGTTGCCACTTTGGTATTATTCAATCCCTTTCTCACTTTATTTAACAGGAGAGGAGAGAAAATACAAGAGATAAAGCACAAATATTTTTCCTTTGTTTTAGTATAACAGGGTATATAATGTATTTTGGAATAGATTTTCTTATCATTTTTCTTTTTTGGGGAGTATGTGTTACTACCATTTTTTCTTAATAAATTAGAATACCGATCATTTAAAATAGTATTTAAATACATTCAAATTCTTAAAATAATCCTGAAAATGTTCTTTCTCTAAACTCTTTCATTTGTTCTATTTCTTATACCATTAAAAACATGTATCTTGAGGTAAATGCATGACTTACCTTTTGCCAAGTTTTTCTTCTATTCTGACTTTCCAATCTTCCATTCTTTCACGTACTAGAGCTTTCAGGGGTGCAATGTACACAGCCTGAACAAAACACAAAGACTCTCATGTACATCTAATTAAACTCAAAAATCTCCATAAAATGGTTTAGAACGTATCTTTCCTGTTCAGGAATATAAATGCGCCTCAACTACAATGATAGTCAATAAAGTACTCAAATTACATCAAATGAGAATGATTTTAAGATAGTCAAGATATAAAAAAATTCTATCTTTAAACAAATAAATATTTTCTAGAAATTAAATGCTTCACTTAAGATACCTTCTTTGGATATTTTTAATAAAGAAAATAATGTTAGTTACTACTACTACTAATACTGCTACTGCTATTACTACTACCACCACTTCTTTTCTAGTCAGTCAATGAGCATTTATTAAACATCTTATATGTATCAAGTGCTAAGCACTGGGGATACAAAGATAAAATATAATGCAGTCCCTGCTCTCAAGGAATTCATAGTCTAGGAGACAAGAAGCAAATAACTATGTACAAACAGGAATAAAGTGGGAATAATCTCAAAGGGAAGGCACTAAGATTCAGGAGACCAGGAAAGACTTCTTGTAGTAGGTGTGACTTTAGCTGAGACCTGAAGCAAATCAGGGAAGCTAAGAGGCAGAGATGAGAACAGAGGGAGGCATTTTCTCAACGTTCAAATGTAAAGTGATACAGTCTCAGTTTGAATTCTAAAGTGTTTCAAATTTTTGAAGAAGGTTGGGAACCAAAGCAATACTTTGTAATCTAAGATTCATGATTCGTAATGCAAACATAAGTAGATGCACAGGATGCTACTAACTCCCTCTTCATTTCTTTTACACAGCACAGAACTGGTAATAGTGCTAAAATTTGCTGTTAGTGATGAAGTTTCCTCTATCACAAAATGCCTTTGACATAATACTGAATTTCCTGTGCAGTGCTTATACAAGTTGGGAATGTGGAATATGCGCTTGGAAGAACTATCTGAAGATTCATCCATATCAATCCAAGGTTTACTGTAGTTTTTTCTGCGACCAAATACTAATAAGGTGGTCCTTTATGTCATATTCCATATAACACAGATCAATATACCTATAAGCTGGGACACATTTTGGTTGAACAACTTAAGAGATTTTTTCTTTTACTAATAAGTTAAATTCAAATCAAAGGAAAAAAGTGAGCTTAAAAACTAAAAGTTATTTAAATTTAAAGAAGAATATCTATTTATATGTTTTTGTCACCTCAAAAAAAAGTTCTACTCCAAAGCATCATTGTAGCAAGGAAATGACCAGTTTTCAAAGACTAGGCCGACAGTGAACAATGTATGACAAATTCTTCAAAGTTGGAAAAGTTTTAATTTTCTGAGGAAGGCCTTTCTGAGGAAAGGCCTAAGTATGGACATACTCTTTACCAGTGAGTGTGCCATTAAGTGATGAATTTCTTGGCAAAGGCAAATCATGAAACAAAGAAAAGGACTCTCAAGTCCTTTGTGGTCCTGTCTAGTTTTTTTAGTGACAGTAGTATAGTAATAGAAAAGAGGTTAAAGGATAACATTAATCTCAGTGTTTAGATCATCTATAAATCTCACTTTAAATGTTAAGTTCTTGTTCCAATAAGCCAACAACATTGCTCCAATAACCAACAATGGTGTATTATTATTTTGTATATACTTACATATCTAAATAATGTATATGATTGTCTCCCCCTGTAGAATGTAAATTCCTTGAGAAGGTGACCTGTTTTCTTTTTTGTCTCTGTATCCCAGGACCTAGAAAAGTAGCTGCCACAAGGCAGGCACTTAATAAATGCTTGGAGAGTGATTGGTATTTTTGGAAGAAGTGAACAAAGTGATTATTATCATCTTCATCATGGATGAAATCAAAAGATACGTGAATGGCAATATGAACTTGCAGGTTAATGGAAGGATAAGAGAAACAAAGGAATTGGTAGTTAGTTTTATAGTATATCGCAAGGCAAAAAGAATCATTATTTCAAAGGGACTTACAACCCTACTTGGCTAGCAACCCTTATCTTTCAAGAAAAGCAGTATGAAAATTAAAGGCAACAATAGTTTAGAAAATAAGCTCATTTGCAAAATTTTTATGAAAGAAGATGGTGGAAACAGAATTTCCTCATAAAACAGTAAAGATCTCTTAAGGGTTAAGCTAGTCTACCTAAAGCTTGGTGTGAAACCAACAAAGTCAGATCACCATAAGCATATTTAGATGAAATGGGAACGAATATAACAAGTAGGTTAAAAAAAAAATGGAGTGGATCTACCAACATTTCTACAGTAATCTATTTTTACTACTGATAATAGTAAATCTACCACATTTGCACTTTAATATTTTAGTAGAAGATGGATTAAAGAAGAGGAAAAGGCACTTAGAAAATAGAACTGGGTAAAGAAACTTGATCATACAAAGTAAATACAGAAGGAATCTATGCTGAGAGTAATACAATTTTGAAAGAATTAAGGGATTAATTTTCAAGATATATAAAAGAGCAGAAGATATCAAATGACCAGAAGAAATTGTGGCTGGTATTTTTACATTTTTAAAAAATGCTGATCAGGCATCAGTAAATAAAGACCCATACATCATTTGCAATGGAAAAGATAACCTGAATGACCATATGATTATCAGTAAGTGAGGCATAAAATAGGGAAATACATGCTCTCCAATGGAACTAGCCAGTATTAAAGTCCTTAGAAATTATGAGATCTTTCAAAGGATCCTTTTTTCTTAAGATTTAGTGTTGAATGAATTAAGTCCGCTTAATCCTCCAAGGGCTCCTCAAGGAGATTCACTACTATTCAAAAGAGATTGGTCTGACAATACATATGGGAAAAACTAAATGGATGAAGAATGTTCACTGTGCAGACTATTACTTGGATCGGTAGTCCATTGAGAACATCAGCTGTGGAGAAGCCCCACAGATGAATAATGAAATTAGTTCAGAATTGTACAGGAGGAAGATATTGGTCTGGATTCTGGATTGTATTGGGAAATGCATAGCACTTTCAAAGATCCTAAACTAATTCCTGACATAAGAAACTATGCTTTAACATAAATAATGTCCAAATTATAGTAACTAGTTACAAACTATGGAACGTGGCAACGAACAGATTTATGCTACAGAATACTACCAATGATGATTCTAGTGTAAAAAGTTGATCATAAGATATGATTTACTAAATGCAAGACTGGAAAAAGAGGTAGGCCATCCAAGTAGTCAGAATGAGGTTTAACACATAGACATTCTGAGGAATTACAGATTGAACAGGTACTCCTCAAATGTTAAAATGCCTAGAGGAAGAAGCCCTCCAATGAACTGAATTGGAAAAGAAGGAACTGGAGTCATATCTAGTCTCTGAGGTCAAGAAAGCACTTAAGTTTTGAAATATACTTTTGGTAATAACATTGTTTGCTTAATCCCTCAAGAAATCAGCTTCTAATTCTCTTGTACATTTGGAGATCAGAAAATACTCAATGACCTTCTCAAATTAAGTTTTGGAAATTTATTTCTCTATTCTTTGATTAAGCAAAAAGAAATCTACTTGGTACTTTTTAACAAACCTTTGATGAGGGATACTTGTTAAAGATTCTAAAGATGGCTAATTCAGCAGCTACAGTCTTTCCTGAGCCAGTGGGTGCTCCAAGTAGTACATTACAGTCTGTGTGATAGAGCGTGTGAAATATCTGTGTCTGCACAGGATTGAAGTGAGTGAAGTTGTATAGGGATTCATATTTTCGGCATCCCAAAGCTGTGACAGGTAATGGCTGCAGATCCAGTAACTCTGAAATAAGATAAACAGTCATCAAAGTAGGGAAAAGTAAATACAAAAATAGAAATTATTTGATTAAAAATGAGTTATCAACTACTAGAGGGAAGAAAAGAATAGAAAATTTTTGAGAGTATTATTCTATGCTGGGAAAATGACTGGCATCTCATGAAAATAAAACCTAAGAAAAAACTACCAGTTGGTCTCTAAATTCTGACATCTTCCTAAAGGTCAATATTTTGAATTGTTAGTTTACTTTTTCTTATAATAAAATACAGTATAATAAACACATTTTTTTTGAAACTAGAGTATTGACTGGCAAACGTAGCACTATTTTTATTCTTTGCCATTAATTGTATCTCTATGACTTAGTACTCTTCTATAGAGTAGATACTCAACAGGCTTGTGATATTCAGAATGAATATAAGGTAGTACAAGAACCAGAGTGCCTTCTGAGCCATCATAGATTGCATTGTTTTCTGCAGAGTTCTAAAGGTTTCCCCTCCCCCATGGGTCATTATTTCTAAAAATTCATCCTGTGGAGACCAAACTTTTGGTATTAAGCCACTGTGCCCATAGTTAGGTTGGTCCTTGGACCAACTTGGACTGGTATGCCCTCAAGGCTTTTCAGCTTGGAAAAAACTATCAGTTTTGTTTTTTTTTTAAACCAAGCCTGGGAGAGTTTGTTAAGCCCATATGACATAAATAACCTTCTACTAATCAAAAGACTTAATGTACCAACACATTTATTTTCCATAATGCCAGAAAATTGCATTTCCCATATTAACATAAAATATAAAATACATATTTACTAAATATAAATTCTTCTATCATGGATTATATTATTTTCAGAAATATTTCTCTATTACCTTTTTTATTATGATAATCAAATATACAAAGACTGTACAACGAAATAATACAAAAAAAAAGAAGGCAACACATGTAAAAATCTAGAGACACCTTTACCCTATAACCCTTAATATAAGCATTTTGGAAACTAAAGTATTATCCCATTATCCAAAATGCCATTGTAATGTGTTTGATCTATAACAATTTCTTATTTGTACACATTTTGGAAAGGTACTAAAACTTGGGAGAAGCTGAAAAGGGCTATCTATGGAAACCTGAAGTTTGCTATTGGGGCAGTCCTTAATTTCAGGAAGTTGAGAAAATTACAATGAAGCAAAATGACTAGGAAGGGGCTTTCAAGTAAAATACTTAAGTAACTACGCAGAAACATTAAAAAAAAAGTAATACTTTTCATTTCGATTTTGGTACAATGTTAAGAGAAATTGAGCAGTAAAACAAAACAGTGAATTTAAGAAATGCTATTGGATTGGGTCTTCACTTTAGGGCTTCATAACCTAGAGAATACTCACAAATTTAAAATGTACTCCTCCAACAAAAATGATATAGGAATATCTATAATATTATTGCCTTTATTATCATGGATAACAGGATATTGAAAGCACATTTTAAAATTAGATGTCTTATGTGGTGTCATGGTAAGAGTTTCTTTAAAATTTTAGGTGGTATGATTAAATTTTTAGAAAGTCTAAGATAATCAGGCACATTGGTGAAAGTCTTTATTAGCTATAGCTGGTGAGGCTGAGGCTGGTGGCTCACTTGGTTCTGGGAGTTTTATGCAGCAGCAGAACTAAACCTGACTGATTAGGTGTCTACAGTAAGTTTGGCATGCCAGGCTGCCTCAGGTGGGGTGAACTTGGCCAGGCTGGAAAAACAGAGGTCAAAACTTCTGTGCTATTCAGTATTGTGATAAGGCTTGTAATTGGCCACTGTACTTCCAGGCATGATGAAAGAGGGAAATCCAGTCTCAAAAAACAAAACAAAGAAAGAAAAAAATAAAGTTTAAGATAAAATTTTAAGAGACTTTTATTAACATTTTGTATATTTCTATCACAGGCTTAAACCTATTCATAATATATTCTATATAATTACTGGCACCATTAAGTTAAAGTGGCCCAACTTCAGAAAAAATGGTTTGCCAGATTTGTGCCCAGTAGGATATATATATATATATCCTACTTATGTATATACACATATATACATAAGTGCAAATAAGATGGTAGGCAAATAAAAAATTTACATTAAATATTGAGCATCTATTACTAACCAAGTGATAATGTTTGTTTCCTTTAACTAGAATTCTGTAATCAATTTTCTGGGTAAATAGGGCTATAGGGCTATATGGGCTTTACCAGGCAACAGAATAGATTATTATTATTATTATTATTATTACATTTATTGTTTTTTTGAGGGGAGGAGGGAGTCAGGGAGGTACAGACTTAAGCAAGAGTCTGGCGACTAATAGGGTTGTTGAGGGTAAGGTAAGGCAGGATATGGATTGACATGTACTGTACTTGAATGTGTATTTTTTTTAAAATGGGTTCCACAGTATTTATCTCCTTCTCCCCTCCTTTCAGTACAGAAGCATAAAGGAAATCTGCAAAGTAAAAGATGACTACTAAAAAAATTAGAAGGAAAATATCTAACATTAGTTACAACTTATGCAAGGATATTTCAGGAAGTTCAAGCTGGAAGGGACCTTAGCGGTCACTGAGTTCAATTACTTCATTTTTCAGAAGAGAAAACTGAGGCTCAGAAAGGTTAAGAGATTTGCCCAGGGACTCCCACCTAGCAAGTGTCTCAGGTGCTATTTGAACCCAGCTTTCCTGACTTCAAGTCCTATTCAATGTCACAGACCATATATATGAAGGGAAAAAACAAACAAGCTGGCAGTGGAAAGATAAGCAGATGCTGAGAAATAACAACAAAAAAATTTGATATTGCACATATTCTGAATTAGCATTCATGTAAAAATATTTATTTAGCATGCTGAAGATTAATAAGATGCATACTAACAACCACAGGAATTGTTCCCATTCACTAATAATCAGAAGGGCAGATATCACCTCATTTACCTCTATTAGGGTCAGTTAACTCCAAATGGTGTGTTTCATTATACTCATTGCCAGGAGTAGAAACACCTGACCAGCCCTATTAGGGCTAGCAGAGCCCATCCTTGCTTAACTGATCACCTGGTCTGAAGAAGAGTGAAGTTATCAACTCTATTCCCTCTGCAGAGATGAAAGAGTGTCAGGCCTTCCCATCTGCCTTGCCTCTGACAGAAAGCCCTCAGACACCTCTCCCCCATTGCACCTGGGGCACTGTCATGTCACTTAATGACTTAACTGAAGGATCTGAGACTTTCCATTTCCTCCTCTGATCATATTTAGGATTTCTAGGCCTTGGCATCTCAACTGAAACTGAACTTTCTTTTATTAGGGTGAGTCTCCTTAAGACCGTTTAGCCTTGTTTCTATCTCCCACCCTCAACATAGTGCTTGGCAGAGAGTAAGCACTTAATAAGACACTAATTCATTCATACATTCATTCATTCATTCATTCATTCATTCATTCATTCATTCATTCAGTAGGTTCCATGAGATCAAGGATTCTTCAGGGTAGACAAGATCTCAGATTTACAATAATGAAAGATTTTTGTACATCAGAAATAAAAAATATTTTGTGACCACCAATTCAAGTAACTATTTTTAAGTTCTATAAATTATAAACAAATACAGGTTTTTAGATGTGAAAGTGATATGGGAAAAGGATATTTTTAAAATACAACTACACACTGGTTTTCAAATTTACATACAAACAGAATTAATTAAAGTAATAGCTTTGGGAAACTAGTAATTCAAATTCCTGGTGATGTTACCTGTATGAGGAGGATGTCTCTCCGGCAGAATTAAATGTTGAAAGTTGATGATACATACAGCCTCTGCTCCTAACCATCTGTCAGAAACAGCCCGAATGTAGTATTGAGAAGGCAAAGGTTCAAAAATAGGGATTGTAAATACCAGCAACTGAGATTCTTTTGCAATGACCTAACATAAGAGAAAGTCAATTATGAGTTTGGATTTTCCAGGATCTTAAAAGTAGCAGGTTATACTCTATTGAGGTTCAGTATTGCTGGAACCTGCAGAAAGTTCTTTCCTGAGAATTCCTAATAAAACAAAGTAAAGTTTATCTTAACAATGCATATAGATACCATCAAAAAATAAATCACTTTTTTCACTTCAAATTTCTAATCTGTAAAATGGGGGATTAGAATGGATAATCTCTAAGGCCCTCCCAATCTCCAAAATGTATGAATCTATTTTCAGTTGGTCGATCACAATAAAATTATATAGACCTCATTCTGACTTTCTGAACTGACTAGAAGAAACATCACAACAAAAATATTTGTATCACTCAACCATGATTTTTTGTTAGCCAAGTAAGGATATCACTTTAAATTCCAACTTACAGTAAAAGTGAGGAGAAAAAGCATAAAAACAGAAAATGTGATTTTTATCAAGCACATGTTCTCTTTTCCTATGCTAGTCTATAAAATTTATTTGAACAAACATTTCTTAAGCGCCTAACATGCAAATGGCTCTATATATTTACCTGCTTTTTTTGAATGAGAAAATACTCAGAATGATAAATATGATCATTTGTGGGATCTTCTACCCAAATCCACCACGGTTCTCCAACTGTACCATGCACCTAGAGAAAAAAAAGATTACTATACAAAATATATTATAGTTATGGTATATGTAGACAGGAAAGGTTTCTTACTTGCAAGGTAAAGTGAAAGAAGGGAGGAAAAAATCCCATTAAATTTAGATATCACACTGACCATTAAAAATGCTTTAAGTTTTTAAAATCTAGATTAGTGATGTCCAAATTTTTTTGAGCACACACCTCCAAGATATGTATATTTACTTACAAATTTTACACACACACACACACACACACACACACACACACACACACACTACTGTATTGATGTATAAAGAAGCAAACACAAAAATAGAAATGGAAAAACTAGTAAGATAAAGATCAAATAAACATTTTAAAAAAACCTTTTTTATTTATAAATGGTGCAAAAATCCTTTTGTTCTTATTAAATATAATTAATAGTTAGTCGATAAACATCTGCTAAGCCCTTACTATGTGCCAAGCACCTAAGTGTTGAGGATGCCAAAAAAAAAAAAAAAAAAAAAGGCAAAAGACAGCGCCTGCCCTCAAGGAGTCCATATCCCTGTACAAGACCCAGAGAATGTTTTGGACTTAAATTTTGCTAGCAATAAATTATTCTTTTAATTTTATCAATGTAGCTAGCCAAAGAGATAAATTTCTTTTTTTTAAAAGATAATTTTTTTCAAATAAAAGATACATAATAATCAAATAATAGGTTGTAATCATTTTGAATTTTTCAGTAGGAATCATGTTTTTCAGGATATAGATATACATTCACTGCACATAGTATAAAAATAAGTAACAGTAAATTGTCTCTAGTTTCAACTCAGCAGAAAGTTTTTAATATAAATCCATTCCTTTCTTTATATGGTTCTGCTTCTGATGGTGTCATATATTAATTTCCCATTTACGTTTGTGTTTTTAGTTGTGTTTTTGTATGAGTCTAGAGGAAAGAAAGAAAAACACTACCAGAGGTTCCCAAAGTGAGCGATACCACCCCCTGGAGGGCACTGTAATGATCCAGGGGAGAGGTAGTAGTGTCAGGTGCAACTGGGGGGCATTGAATAAATATAAGGGGACAGTGGAAGCATAAGGAAAGAAGAGAAGATAAGAAAATTTGAAAAACCATTTGTACATGTTCCATCTGTTGTGTAACAGACTTAAAGTCATAGTGATTATAATATTTTCCAAATAAACACAAAAAATGCAAGTTATAACCAATCAGTGGTCAAGTCCATCGATAGGTCTTAACAAGCAAGTGTTGGCAGGAGAGCGTGCCCTGCGTTGTCAGGAAGTCCAGTATGCATTGGCAGGAATATGTGCGTTTAATGACTTGTTTACAATATGATAGTATATCGCATCATCAAAATTTAAATGCAGGAAAAACCCTACAAATTTATAATAAATTAGTAAATGTAAGATGTGTCATTTTTAAAAAATATATTTTATATTTTTTTGAAATGATGGAAATTTAAAAAAAAAAACAACTTTAAAGGGTTAAAGAAAGTAGATTTCCAGGGGGGCACTAAGCAATTTTTTTTTTAAAGGGGGCAGTAGACCAAATAAGTTTGGGAACCTCTCCTCTAGAGTAAAGAAGGGAGGCCTATATTATAAGGCTAGAAAGTAGTTTGGAGCCAGGTTGTTTAAAGATTTAAAATGCAAAATGCAGAAGTTTTTAATTTGATCTCAGAGTTAATAAGGAGCTACTAGAACTGAACCCTTGATGTGGGGTAAGGAAATTAGTATGGGGGGAGAGGTGGATTTTCCCAATGATGCCTGTGGCAAATGCTAAAGTGGGCACTCAATTGGTTCAGTCATAACCGCACTGAGGGAAGGATGCAGGGAGTGGTCAGACTGGGGAAATGCTGGGTCATAATAGGAGAGGCTATGTTCGTAACAATTCCCACGACAGGTTACGGCAGGCAAGGTGGGAATTAAACACATCTTTACATAGTTTGACTGAAGAATCTCAAATGCCAGGGTTCCCATTCTGGAGATCATTGATCAAGATCAGAGGTATCAAACATGTGGCCCACAGCCTGTGTTAGCAACACTCCCAAGTGTAACCTGAACCAGATGAACATGTAATTGGAAAATATTTGACAAAATAAATTAAAAAAACAAGTGAACAGGGGCAGCTAGGGTGGTAGCACCATCCTTTGAGTCAGGAGGACCAGAGTTCAAGTCCAGCCTCAGACACTCGACACTTACTAGCTGTGTGACCCTGGGCAAGTCACTTAACCCCACTGCCAAGCAAAAAGCAAACAAACAAACAAACAAAAATTGAACACAGATAATGTTAATATGTGATTTTTTAAGTTCATATGTGGCTGGCAGAGATCTTTATGTACGGTTTGATAGCTGGTATTATTGTTCAGTCATTTTCAGTTATGTGTGACTCTTCATGACCCAATTTGGGGTTTTCTTGGCAAAGACACTAGAGTGGTTTGCCATTTCCCTCTCCAGCTCATTTTACAGATGAGGAAATGGAGGCAAACTGGGTGAAGTGATTTGCCCAGGGTCACATAAGTACTAAGTATCTGAAGCAGGATTTGAACTCAGGTCTGGTACTTTATCCACTGTGCAACCTAGTTAGTTTAGCAGTACCTGTTTCTATTTCAGTTTGACACCACTGATCTAAGTGACTTGTTCAAAGTGACAAAGTAAGACATTTAGGCTAGTATCTGACAAAATATGACTAAAAGTAATTTTGGATGTGGGGTCAAGATACAATTAAAATGACGACACCTCTGTGCACAATAAAAACTATATGATAGCAATTTATATAAGCAGGTTATAGCTTACCGTTTTTAATTTCAAGCTCAGTGGAATTTACGTGCAGAAAGGGGTGGGGGGAGGTGATGGTGCTGGTGGAGATTAATGTGATCTAAGTTGGTATTTATTTAGCATTTTATATTTGCAGAAAGTTTATAAATTATTTTTATTATGAGTTTTTCACATGAACTCAGGGACAGAATTAATATAATTTTACATGTATTTATAGATGAGTAAACCAAAGTACAAAAAGGTTAAGCAATTTTCTGAGCCCAAATTAATGGCCAAACTAGATTAAGATTAAAGTTCTTGGATTCTTCAAATGCAAAGTTTGAGAGTATTGCTATTTTTAAATAATTCATATTAAATACAGACCTGCTATTATCTTACATATTTGAATCAGTTTTTGTTTTTCTAGAATATCCATATAGGATTAGGAAACAGGTTTTCCAGTTCAGAAAAAAAAGTGGCAACAAATTTAAAAATGGTACCTAGAGTTTTGTTACACTTAATATACTAAAGAAAAACCAAAAGAAAATGTGCACTCTCTCTCTCTCTCTCTCTCTCTCTCTCTCTCCTTGTAATCTGTATGGTATTCTATAAAAACAATGAGATGTCTTGTTTAAGAAAATAACTGAACATTTTTGTTGCTAGATTAAAAAGCATCATTTTCCGCTACAATAGATGATTATTAAAAAATTGGTACTTAAGCCAGACTTAATCCAATAATCTGTAATTATTACAATCTTAAAAAATGAGAACCAGAATCATTTAAAAAAGCACAAAAATTACCTACAGGTTTGAAGCAGAACTGGGTGACCTGAAGCAATGAATGAGGAGCAAAAACATGAAACATGCAATCAGGGACTTAAAGGGACTATTTAAGTTTCATAACAGTGCATAGGCCATGTAAATAAAAGCAATGTGTAGTAATTGTAAAAATATGGCATGACCAAAGGAAGAGAAAAGAAAAAGCCCTTCTGCGTCCTTTATTTCCCTTTCAATGGCTTTCTGAGCCTCTGAATCCTAGGTAAATTCTATGTGTCTGGTGCCATCATGAGGAAAATGGATTAGAGGAGATCTAGGACATTACAAAGATTCCTTCTAAAATCTACTCAGATAAGGTCCAAAATCAAATCTGTGACACATGAACTGTACCCCAGAAAGTTAAAATTCCTAAGCCAATTCACACTGGTTTTGTAAAAGTCTTGTAGTCTGTGACTATGAAATAGATCAGCCAGACTGACCACAGCCTAGATTGGTTACAAACCTTCCCTTCTGATTTCCTGATGTCTACGGTATATTGTTAAATAGCTGAAAAGTCAACTTTCCCAGAAGCTGGAAAGTTCTCATTGAGCCTTCTATGTTAATATCCCATCTTACATTAGCACTGCTATTATTAGCATTGCTATTAAGTAAATGTGATCAATATTTTTTCAAAGCATCTTATAACAGTTAAATACAATTTTCTTCCTAAATATAGTGGCTGTGTGTTTTTTTGGTTTTACCTGATCATTCCACTTGAAGTCAGGGCAGATGTTCAGCCTTACTCGGAGTACAGTACGTGTAATGGGCTGTATAGCTGCTTCCAGTGTAACAGAAGGAATCTGATGGACACACTGTTTGACCTTTAGCCCAATATTCACATGATGCAGCATGTGACCTGAAGAGAAAATACTAAGATAATGAAATGTGAATATACCAAAAAAAAAGTACCATCTGACTTGTAAATAGGATTTTAGAGAAGGCAGTTTTATTGCTTGTTTTCTGGTGTGCCACATAAAATGGCTGACATTTGTGACCTGGCATGTTTGAATATTTTGAAATAGGTAACCTGGATTAGCAAGTCATAGCTGTGAAAATCACTATTAACCCTTGTATTAAAAGGAGTCCAAAAATTGAGCCTTTTTCCTCTTTTCAGTAGTTCTTAGCTTTTGGTTAGTTGTAGTTATGGAGTAAATTTTGAACAAAAGGAGGAGAGTGAATAAGACTGCCTTTGGGAAATTGCACAGTGCTTTTAATGAACCCAAGTTTCACTTCTGAAAGAAAGTCCCAGGCTTTTTTTTTTTTTTTAACAAAATTCCTCCAGTAGTATTATGTAGCTGCAAGTTCTAGAATACTTGTCCTTGAAAGAATTAAAGTCAAGGTCATCCAAAGGAAAACAGAGAAACCCAAGATGGAAATGAGTAGGCAGCTATATGGTATCAACAGAGAATTTTTTTTTTTAATTTTTAAAATTTTTATTTTTAGGCATTTGGGGTTAAGTGACTTGCCCAGGGTCACACAGTTAGTAGGTGTCAAGTGTTTGGTCTGAGGTCGGATTTTGAATACAGGTCCTCCTGACTTCACGGCCGGTGCTGTATCTACTGCGCCACCTAGCTGCCCCAACAGAGAATTTTGCAAAACCAGTGGAATAAAATATCATCATAAATCAAAGAGATGTTTGATGGGAAAGGAGGTGGGTCACTCACGAGGTGAGAGCAAGGATGGAATACTAATGGAATAAGAGCAACTGATGGAATACTGACCAGTATCCATGCAATGTCAAGAAATGTAGAGCAAAGTCCTGAGTATGCTGGGAGGTCTCTCTGTAGAGGATGTGCTGAAGGACAAGGACATGAGCCTGGACAAAATGAGAGGGCATGCGTGGCTTGTGATCCAGCTGAATCACAATTGTTCAGAGTGCCCAGATTTATTCAAGCACAGATTCTTTGAAATACTATTGAAGTTCGTGATATGGTACATAAAGCAAAATGCAAACCTCTTCTGTAGAATTCTTGTATATAGTTTCCAATAAATCCTCCAAAGATAACTACCTGACATACTGGAGGCCTTCTTCTCATTGCATATACTAGGGTACCACTTGTACTGTCTTGCTGTTGCCTCTAGAGCTGGGCAGCACATTGGATAGCCTACTGGGGCCTGGAGTCAGGAAGATCTGAGTTCAAATCCAGCCTAAGATATTTACTAGCTGTGGGCAAGTTACTTTAACCTCTAATTGACTGAATTTTTTCATCTGTAAAATGGGGGAAATAACAGTACCTACCTTGTTGGCTTGCATGAGAAGCAAATGATACACTATTTTTTTTTTTTTTGGCTAGGAAATGGGGTTAAGTGACTTGCCCAGGGTCACACAGCTAGTAAGTGTTATGTGTCTGAGGATAGATTTGAACTCAGGTCCTCCTGAATCCAAGGCTGGTGCTCTATCCACTGCGCTACCTAGCTGCCCCCTGAGATGCTATTTGTAAGTCACTTAGCACAGTGCCTGGTACACAGTAGGTGCTATATAAACGCTTATTCCCTACTCTCCTCCCCTTTCATTCTTGATACATCAGTAATTCATCTACTTTCCTGGTCATACGCATTCTTAAAACAATACTCATGCCATATGTTATCATATTTAGCAAGACATAGAATTAAAAAGATTTAGTGATAATAACTACAAGATCCTTTACTACAGTCATCTTGTTTATTTTGATTTGTACTTCCTCTTGTCTGTTCACCCCTCTTCCCAAATGAAAGCTTCCTAAGAAGTTCACCATTGTTAAAATGAAGCATTAAAATAATGAATCTAAATAAAAATAAGTATGTTTAAATAAAAGAACAAAATGATGGCTGAAGCACTGCTGAATTAAGTAATAAACATTCTTCAAATGCATCCTTTGGTTCTGCCACCAGGTCAAAAGTACTCTGAATTCACTTTATCATAATGAGTTTACAGAGCTTCTGACTGACATGAATTAAAGTTGAAAGCAAACAAGTCACAAGCAAAAGACATCAAAGTAGGAGGAAACAACCATTCAAAAGTATACTAATAAAACAGCAAGCATTTATTAAGTACTTTATGTGTGACAGGTACTATTTTAGGTGCTAGGGATATAAATATAGTAAAATAATCTGTATTCTTGAAGAGCTAGTATTCTTTAGGAGGAGAAAACGAACACATACAAAATAAAAACTGAGAAGATATATACAAAGTAGTTAAATACAAGATAATTTAGGAGACATGGGTATTAGCATTTAGGGGGATGAGCAAAGGCTTCATAAAGAAAGTGATGCCTGAACAACGTCCGGGAGGAAGAAAGTAATTTCGTTAGGTGCAGGTGAGGAGGGAGTGCATTCTAGGCATGTGAAATATGCCAGTGCAAAAGCATAGAGACGAAAGATCTTCTATGTGTCTAATACACATAGAGGTCTAAGTTATCTTGTAAGAGTAACTAGAAGACCAGTTTGGTTGGATCACAGAGTGCAGGATGAAGAATAATGTACAATGAAGTTGAAAAGGTTTGGGTCAGCTTATGATGACTGGTGATGGGGCAGCTAGGTAGTGCAGTGAATTAAGTGTCTAGAGTCAGGAAGACTCATTTTCATGAGTTCAAATATGACCTCTGACACTTACTAGCTGTGTAACCTTGGGTAAGTCACTTAACCCTATTTGCCTCAGTTCCTCATCTGTAAAATGAGTGGGTGAAGGTCATGGCAAACAACTCCAGTAACTTTGCCAAGAAAATCTCAAATGGGGTCATAAAAAGTTAGATGTGACTGACCAAACGATGATTTAAAAAAGCTAAAAAGGGAGTTTAAATTTGATCCTTGAGGCAACAGGAAACCACTTTGATTAAGTAAAAGAGTCACATGGTTAGTCTTCTGTTAAAGGAAAATTACTTTTTGCAACAGTATACAGGATAGACTGTCATGGGGAGACCACTTGAAATGGGGAGACCAATAATCTTGGTAAGAGGTAATGAGGGCCTGACAAAGGTGGTAAACGTGTGAGTAGAAAGGAGTCAGATAAGAGAGATGTTGTGAGGTAGAAATGGCAAGATTTGGCAAATGATTAGATATGTGGGGTGAAGGAGAGTGAAGGATAATACTGATATTGGAAATCTGAGACTGGAAGAATGGTGTTGCCTTTGATAGGAATATGAAAATTTGGACACAGGGAAGGATTTTTGGAGAAAGATAATCACTTCTATTTGGGACATGTTGAGTATAAGAGGTCTCTGAGACATCCAGTTTCAAATGTTCAAAAGGCAGTTGGTAACGTAGGACTGAATGAAGAAAGAGAGATTGGAAGTTGGATATATAACTCTGGGGGTCATCAGGATAGAAATGCTTAAAATTTCTCTATGTCATTTAATATCTATCTTTTCCCCTTGTAAGATTATACTCAATTTTGCTGGGTAAGTTATTCTTGGTTGTGAGCTTAGATATTTTGCTTCCGGATTATTATATTCTAAGCTCTCCACTCCTACACAGTGGTGTCTGCTAAATTGGGTGTGATGATGACTATGACTCTTTGGTACTTGAATTACTACTTTCTGGATGCTTGCAGTAGTTTTTTCTTTGACCTGGGAGCTCTGGATTTTGGCTAGAATATTCCTGGGAGTTTTCATTTTGGGGCTTCTTTCAGGAACTGACCAATGGATTCTTTTTAGTTTCTATTTTGCTCTCTGGTTAAAGTAGTTCAAGCAGTTTTCCTTTATGATTTCTTAAAACATGATGTCTAAGTTCTTCTTTTGGTCATGATGTGCAGACAGTCCAATGATCCTTATTTTTTTTTTCCCCCTTCAGTCTGTTTTCCAGGTCAATTGTTTTTGCTGTTAGACATATCACAGTTCCTTTTTTTGGGGGGGGGGAATGGGGGAGGTTCTTTTAATTTTTCTTGATGACTGATGGAGTCAATAGATTTAGTTCATTCTAATTATCAGGTAGTTATTTTCTTGGGGTAGGTTTTATATTTCATTCCAAGCTGTTAATTCTCTTTTCATATTTTACTCCTATAACTTTCATTTCTTTTCCTATTTTTTCCTCTACTGCTTTGGTTTTTTAAAAATAATTTTAGTTCTTTCAAAAAACTTTTTCTTTAACTCATCCATGCCTTCTGGTTGGACTTACAATCAAGCTGAATTTTTCTTTGAAGCATTACTTATAGATATCTTCAAGTCATTCTCTTCTGGGTTTTCTTCTTAAGCTTCCTTGTCTTCTGAATAGCTCTTTATGGTGGGATTCCTTTTTTTTTTTGCTCATTTTTCCAGCTTACTTCTTGATTTTGCACTTAATGTTAGTGCTGGGCTCTGCTCTTATATTGCTTTCACAGCTCAGATTAGGGATTCTGCAAGCTCTCAGTATTCCCAAAGTGATGTGATCTGGGGTTAAGACTGCTCACTATTTTCCTTATCTGAGCTCTGAAAGTTACTGACCCAGGTTTTGATTCTGTTGGCTTATCTCTGGTTGGCAGTTTCCGTAGAGTGATGCTGGACTCAGCCAAAATCAGCCTGCTGGGAGGCTCTGCTGGCTCACAGACTCAACTGAAGAGTCCCCTTTGATTTGGGACTTCTGTCCTGTTCATTTCACTGATGGCTTTCATGCTGAGCTAGAAGCTAGAATCCAGTCCACATTTTGCTCCTGTGATTAGAGCTACATGGCCATTGCTTGCTTCTGAACTTGTTCCGTGCTCAGTACATACCTAGGGGCTGCTAGCAATAGCTCACCCCAATGTACAGATGTCGTTCTTGGCTTGTCTTTGGATGGGATAGAGTACAACAGAGCTGCCAAATGATACCTGTTCTACAACCTGTGCTAATTTAGAGATCTCCTCAGCTCTCTTCATGCTTTGATGCTTCCTAACCTGGTGTCTGGCCTTGTCTCTCTTTCAGTCCTCGGGTACTTTAATGTTCTACATGCATTGCTCTTGGCCAGACTCAGTCTCCAGTGTCTACAAACCTTTCTATTTGTATCCCTCAGCCACCCTGGGTTGGAAAAAATTACTGACTGTGATTTTTTTCTAGGATTTCCTAATAAGAATTCAGTCTGCTGCATTTACTAGGTTTTTGGGGAGGGGATTTGGTGGAAGAGCTAGGATGCTCTTTTTTCTACTATTACATCATCTTGGCTCAGTTGCAAGTTTTCAGCACAGAAAGGATAAACTCAGGAGAGCTGATGATTTCACTAAAAGTGCAGAGAAAGAAACACTGGGATCATAGGAGAGAGGTTCAGGAAACACCCCTAGCTAGGTGGCATGATATGAGGGATGAACCAGTAAAGAAGACTGAAAAGGAGTAGTTTTCAGGGCCCAGGTAGAGCAATTGGCCTTGGCAAGGGGAAGGGCTACCTCATGAGCAGAGACTAGGGGAAAGTAAGAGAGAGTGGAGTTTGATGTCAAGGGGTTTTGAGATTAAGAGAATGGGAGAAGAGAGAATTTGTGTTGAATAGTCTTATATCACTTAAATGGTAGATAAGGGCCTTACAGCCTATGGGGAAGTGCTGGAGGTGTGGGATGTTTGCAGAAAAGAACAAAGGTCTAGAGAAAGCTTTTCTGGGGAGTAAGAAAGGGAATCAAGGAAGAATAAAAGGATTACTTTACTACTGATGTAACATGGCTATTATAATTCTTTAGGGATATATGATTTGATGGTCTTGCCTCCAGTGATGAAGATAAATAATCTTTTCACAACTTGACGGATTTTCCTAAATTCTTATGGCTTAAAAAAATCATCACCCTTTGGTGATTAGCCTCTCTGAACTTGGTTGAATATAATCTGTTGTTGCGCTCATATCTGAAGGCTTTCCAGCTTGTTAAACTTGTCAAAGCTTGCGTCTTGCTGACAAAACCTTTGACAATTCAGGATCCCTTACACTCCGCAATAAGGCATCAGAGTAGGACTTTAGTGAAGGATAATAGTGTCTTAAATTTCTACAGTTTTTTAGGGTTGAAAAGAAATTTTAATTTCTTTAATTTTAATTTCTATTACCTCATTTGATCCTCACAGTAATATATGAGTTATTTTATGTAAGTACTAATACTGGTATTTTATTAAAAAAAAAAAAAGGAACTGAGGTTCCTACATACTAAGTGGCCTTCCAAAGGTGAAAAAAAAAACTATCATGTGGTTGAATCATAACAAAAATCAGGTTTTCCAAATCTGAGTCCAATGATCTTTTCCCTATACCTTGCTGTTAGTACAAGAGTAAAATAATAGTTTCCACAAGAAAAGGATATTAGATTTCATAATCAAAATAATAACACTTTATGTGAAATATCATAATGGTATTTTTAATAGACAAAATATTTTATTGCCAAATAACATTTTAAAAACAATTCAATTCTTTCTTACCTATTTCATCTTTCCTCATGTCTTTCAGTTTATCTACAGTGAGTTTCTTTTCTTCTAATTTTGTAAGGACAGATGGTGGTAACACTGAAAACTGTCTCAGAGGGCTAGCCCAACCCCACAATCGCTTGTCAATGACTTTGCTGAGGTTCAAAAGCCGGTAAGTCATAGCAGGCCAACGTTTCCTAAGAGCAACTTCAAAAAGAGCACGCACAATTCTAGCTGCATTCTGTAGAACAAAAGAAGGGGGGTATAGAAAAAGACGAAAAGATGAGATGTTAAACTTTAAAGATTCCTTGTAAATATCAGTCAGATAAGAGGCATTTATAAAGTGCTTATTATGTGCTAGGTACTATGTTGAGTGCTGGAGATATAAAGAAAGGGAAAAACTGTCTCTATTCTTAGGGAGTTCAAATTCTAAGATGGGAGAGGAAAGGGAAAGAACATGAAATAACAAGATTACATTGAGCAGATAGAAAGCAGTTATAGCAGGGACGGTGCTAAATGTGTTATTCAGATACAATTTAAAAAATAAGATTGGAGTAACTTTTTAAAAAATGTTCTTTAGGCATCTTCCCCCCCCAACCCCTTAAAGCCCATAATAAGATTTTCATCATGAAATTACCCTAACATTTTTCTATTAGAATAAAAATAATTTGTTGCAACAAATAAGAAAAACAATTAAATGGCCAGCAATTTACTTGGAAGGAAAATTTAATACTTTTATATTAAACGGTATACATTGTTAAGTTATGTGCTAAAGGTGACTGTCCTGAAGGCAACATATGACAAATGAAGAAGAGATCTGGACAAGGTGACAACACTAGTGAAAATGTAAATGTAAGGTCAAAGGTAGCAAGACAGGTTGTTAAGGGAAGGTGGCAAAGCAAGGGTCTGAAATTATCAGCTGAGTGTGCTAACTTCTACTCCTAGGAGTTAAAGAGCATCTAGCAGCAGAGGAAGGTGCCCAAAGGCTAATATAGTCTTGAGTAATATTCCAGAAACAAGGAGGTGAGGGTTCCAATGTTCTTCCCTAATCAGACCTCCTCTGCTATGTCACCTTCAGTTCTTTTTACCACAGTTTAAGAAGGACACTGATAAGCTGCACAATGCACAGAGGAGGGTAATCATGGTGCAGAGCTTTGAGTTCATGTCATATGAGGACTGGCTGAAAGAATTAGGGATCATTAAGCCATAAAAAAGAAGACTGGTTTTGGAGGGTTGGGGGTAAGGTGCAGAGAAAAATAGCTATCTGCAAGTATTTAAAGGGCTCTCATGTAGAAAGATTAGATTTTTTTTTTCTGTTTGATTTAAGAAGAAAGAAGCTAGGTTTAATGGGTGGAAGCTTCAAAGAAGAAAATTTAGGTATAATGTAGTAAAAAAACACTTCTTATAATTAGAGCTGTCCAAAAGGAGAATGGGCTGCCTTGAGAGGTGGTGAGTTTCCCTTCTTTGGAGTTCTTCAAGTAGAGTTTGCAAGACCACTTATCGGCATACTACAGTGGGCATTCCTTTTGTATATGGGTTGCACTAGATGGTCACTGAAGTCCCTTCCAATGCTTGAATTCTCTGACTCTTGGGGCATTTTAGTGTCTTAGCTTTCTTTTTGAAGTTTTTGCCTCTCAAATGGTGTGATTCAGGGAAATTTCAGGTTTCACTTCCTACCCAAGAGGAAGGAATTTAAGAGGAAGAATCTGAGGATGAAGCTAACTTGTTCAAAGAAGAGGAAAGATTCTAAAGGAAATCCTTTGGAGGGCAGAGGAAGATTAACACTATGGAGGATTAGAACTGAGGTAGATAGCAATGAATGTGAAGAGAGAGATAGCAGAAAATGGAGATTTTTTCCCCCCAGGGATTATACTTAGTATTTTAGATCTATGCACATCAGTTATATCAGAGTTTTATGCAAGAGTGCAATAGTACACTTGAAGTCCAATACCTGAATACCGATACCAGTACTTTTAGTATTCTAGGGTTTAGTATGATCAGTAGAAAGGCATTTGTGGACCTCACCTTATATAGGGAATCTAACTTTCGTGTAGATTCTTCATTGAACATGAAGCTAGCAAATACCCTTTCCCACTTGTTTTATATTAACTTTAGCCCTGTAGTGATGGATACTTTTCAGAAAAATATAGCATTACAGTTTTGTTTTAGGCATTGGTATAGCAGGAACACTGATTCTGAAGTGAGAGAATACAAGTTCAAAATTGTGGCTTTTATTTCCTCTAAATTTGTGAGTCTAAGTTCTGTCTTCTGTAAAATAAAAGATGTCATGATGTGATAACTTTGCTGAATGATCCTCTGGATCAACATTTAAAAGTGAGGCGTAGAAGGGGAGAAAAAGTGTTTCCTATTGTCCTATGTAAAAAACAAACAAAAAGGACATTCCTTTTATAAGATGAGGTCTACTATATGTTCTTGACTATGCTATTCTATTGACTATACTAAGCTCTAGAATACTAAAGGGACTTTTCAATGAGGTTTGAAACCATTCAAGAGAAACTGGTCAACAAATACATGTAGTAAAAAAAATCAATGGATGAAAAATGAATGCCTGCTATCAAACCTATTGTACATGCATGGATGAACAGTCCATTGAGTTAATGTATCATTACCTGCATATTAGATAAGCATTACTGAATCATGAGCTGGGCCCAGAACTGAATAAGAGGAATAGCATGGATTGTGAGTGGGAATTTTTTTTTAAACTACAACTGATGCTATAAAGCTATGAATCATGGAACATCATAATCTCTAAAGAGCACTGCAGAGGAGCAAGATAGATACAGATAGGTTGCAACCTACTGTTGACAATGATTTGTATGCAAAAAGTGGTATAATAGGTAACACATATGGGATGTAATGATCAGGAAAAAAAGGTGGGTCAGCCATGTAGTAAGACTGGGGTATAAGAGATAGGTACACTAGGGTACACTTTGCACAAAGAATTTTCAAAATCCTACAAGAAGGCTTCTAGAGCCTTGGATAGAGAGAGGATCCTTCTTCATATAGGATGCATTGGAGTCTATGGACAAGAACTGAATAAGATGAGAAGGTATGGGACGGATAGCAATCTACACTGTTTGGGGGGGTACTGACATTGAGATCATTTATCTACTGAAATACTGAATTGAGTTTTTTGGTTCATATTTGTTATTTCAATAGTATCCTGCAGGAGTGGGGAACCTGTGGCCTTGAGGCCACATGTGGCCCTCTAGGTCTACAAAGGCAGCCCTTTGACTGAATCCAAACTTCACAGAACAAATCCCCTTAATAAAATGATTTGTTCCGTAAAACTTGGACTCAGTCAAAAGGTCGCACTTGTGGACCTAAAAGGCCACGTGTGGCCTTAAGGTCGCAGGTTTCCCACCCCTGGATAGGGAACCCTTGAATAAGAAACTCCTTATACCAATGTGACCAGCAATTGCTGGGCAACTTTTAGTCTTAGAGACTGAAGTCTAATTGTAAGTGGTAAAGGATAGTGCCATAAAGTAACTAACTTTATGGAGGACTACCATGTCCACTACATTATATATATGGAAAGGACGTTTATGTCCTTTAGTGCCACTGCCAGAAGCATAATATTAGGCTGCATGGTCTACAGATTTATTTAAACAATATAGCCCTTATATTCTCATCTCAGTATCTGGTAAAATAACATACCACGATCATTGAGACTAAGCTAAGTATCCTCAATGTCTCTTAATCAAATCAGGTTTGTTAACAATTATGTTATTGTTAACATAATATAGCTCGGATAAAACTATGCATAAGTCAAGTTTCTCAGACTTCCTAGCCATGCCATCAACTAAACAAAACAAAACATAAAATAATAGTATTTTGTGGGAAAAAAAAAAGGAAGTTAGAAATAAAGATTGTTGCCAAGTTACAAGAGTGCTTATTAAGTGCATATTGTTCTCTGATATCCCACTGGAGAATCACATGCAACCCAAGATCAGTAAAAAATTGGATAAGTTAAAAGTTTCTCACCACACCTGTTTCCACTTTTTATATTTTATGAAATCATCACCTGGATACTGTTTTTATTACATTCTATAACACTTTCAATTAATATATTAATGTACCTAAGTCACATTTATAAACTTACCTTCTTTTCATGTTTAAAGGAATTTTAAATTATTTCTTTGTATTTGTTTTAATGTGTAATATAACTTTTCATGGAAATATATCTTCCATATATTACACCTTTATATTTCAAAACCATGTGTCTCTTCCTGCTTTCATCTCATAACATTACATTCATTCATTCTCACAAAACCTATTACATATAATAAAATTCAATAAAACTATGTGTTTAGCATGTTTAGTTAGGATTATCTTTACTTTTACTTAATTTAAAGTTGTTACTAACCAATGAAATATAATGGAAAAAGAAGGATGTTCTTAGTAAATGAAGACAAGTTCTAAAACTAAGTTTGTTAGGTTAAAAAAGCTCATTTAAAGGAGCAAATCTTGTTTTTTTCCCTTCACTTAAATGGAAAAGAGGATTGTAAACAAAATGACCTACATTGCCCTCATGAAGTGTAGGCCCAAACTGAATTATTAGAGTGTTTAAGACATCATTTTTTAAAAAGTTACAAATTCACTGAACTTCATGGTTGAGGGAAACACTTTCCTCTAAGTCCCCAATATTATAAACTAAGGAGTCAGTGAAGGGTTTATTTGTTGAGAGTTTGAATATGATCGCATTTGAAATGAATTTGGTACAAGATACATTTATTAAACTTAACTCATAGGAATGTGTTATACAGTAGGTACACACACACACACACACACACACACACACACACACACAGAAAGTTTCCAGCTTTCTAAGATATTTTGCATTCTAAAATCCAATCATATCCTTGCCTTCTGTAAATGAGTAAAACAAAATGATAATCATATTAGGTTGTTATATTACTTTGTTAAATAAAAAACATGGCCATTAGAAATATTTCAAACTAATAATCCTCACCTTTGATTTTCACAAATCTAGAAAATAAAAAGGCTAATTTAAAGCATGTTTCTTAAGAGATAAATAAGTCTGATGAAATGAGTTATTAAAAGTTTCTCACAATAGTAGTCAACAATACTCCTATACTGAATAAGTTATTTATGTAGGAAACATTGAGAATGAATGAGGAAAAGAAAAAAAAAATCTTACCTGTGCAACATATGCAGAATCTGATATCAGAGAGAAACTATCCATCTCTCCTCGACTTATATATGTTTGGAGAAGGATATTTATTTTTCCATAACTATTTTCTACACCTCCAGGAGCAGAAAGTTCACAGAAATTATTCAATAAAACATCTAACTCCTCTATTTCTTCTTCTCTGACCTATAGGGGGAAAAAGTTTTTAAGAATAACAGTTGATTTTTAAGAAAAAAGTTACTATAAATTTAAACTGACATTACTCATTTTTGAAAAAAAAAATCTATTTTGCTATAAATGTTTCCTATTTTAATGCTAAACAACCTCCACACACTATCGCTAATAAAATGTTATTTGAAATGGTCTTAATACTCATAAAATTACATTATTATTCATCACCAATATTAAGGTTGCCATTGACATACAAAAATTTGATATGCCACAAAAATTGAATCTTCTGACCTCACTATCCTCCAACTGATGAGATTTCATTTTTTATTTGACCAGAGTAAAACCTCTGTCCATCTAGATTAGGTCAATCTTGAATTAACATTGAATGCATTCATTATAGTCATATATTTTTCACATTGTATAATACAGTCACACCTCAAGACTGTGAAGTACTATGATTCATGGTATTAAGTTTTCTCTGTTAATAAGATTAAGTAATAATACAACTAAAGAAAAATTCATATCAAAGGTTTGAATAAAACATAACATTCTATATTACCTTTAATTTGTATTATTATAGTATTACATAGTATATTATAGTATTATAAAACAAAACATACATTTGCATTCTTTGTGATTTCCTAAAGTTTCTGTTAACACAACACATATTTTAAAAAAGCAGATATTTGAATTTGATAGTACAGGACCAATATATGTCACGATGTGACAATAAATCACACTGGAGTTACATAATTTTGGTAGATTAAAGCAATTCCCCATATTCTGAAATACTGCATGTTATTCAGTTTATGTTTTCCTGGGATAAGAATTCTGTAAGGAGAAAATGGTGTGGCATTTTTTAAGATATGGTTTAAATACTTATATATTACACATAAGTGGTTCCAACTGCAAATAACCTTACCTTAATTTGCTCAAATTCTTCAGCTTTAGACACTATAGCAAGGATATCTCCTTCTGTTTTATGAGCATCAAAGAGTTCATTGAAGGTCTACCAAAGTAAGTTTAATATTTAATTATTATTCTAAAGGAAAGTCCCATATAGTAATTTAAATAATTAAATGCAATTAGAATTTTTATTAGACTGCGCACACACACACACCCCTCCCTAGAACACAGCAAGAGTTTATAATGTCTATTGAACACTCTTTATTCCCTAGATCGTAGCTTTGGAAATATCACCTCATTCACTTAAATATGACTAAAATCCATTTCTAAAATATGTTAGCTAGGAGATCGCCAAAAGTATAAAAATTTATTTAAATTTTCTAGCAGAGCCACTGTAAGATCACTAAGAATTTGCATCATGATGGTCAGGGTCCTGTTCTCCTTCAATGTGTGCATATGCAAATAAATACTATTAGTTCCCCACTTGCCAATTTACATAACCCATAAAATTAAAAGTGGAACAAGTAGGGATACATAGTTTGCCTACTGTTGCCAAAGGCTTTGAAAATTTTACTAAAAAGGTTATGCAGGATAGTTTGTACCAAGTGAAAAAATAATATAAGGAATGGACATAGAGGAGGGCAGAAACAGAAATTAGAGGTGACCCGGAGGCAACATTAAAATACTTTTCTTTTACAATTGTGTAATAATAGTAGTAATAATACCTTAGAATGACACTGCACTTTAAGATTCACAAAGCACACTTTCACAACAATGATGTAAAAGACACTATAAGCATTATTATCCTCATGTTACTAATGAAGACACTTGGGCATTGAGAGATTAAATACATGACCATGGTCCTATTGCTCCTAAGTTTTACAAGCAAGATGAGAACTCAGCTTTTTCCTGACTCCAAATGCACTTTGCTCTTTTTACTATACCACATTACCTTTCTACTATGCTCTGTTTTAAAAAGTACTCTCACATTTAATTCATTCCCACAACCCAACACCCAATGGCGAGCCACCTAAAGTAATTGACAGTCTGTCAGAAAGTGATTCGCGACAAACCAACTGGTGATTGAGCTAAGGAAAATCTGCAGTTAGTTATGAACTACTGGGTAAGAGTAATAAGATAATGCGATATGATGACATCATAAAAAGATACACCACAATAAAAAGTCAGATATTGGTTCTCAAAAGGCTGAAAGAAAACTGGTAAATACATTAGCATGTCCTCTGAAATGTAGAAAATCTGTAGGTACATAATGAAAGATGGGTCCAAATAGTTGTGATGTCCATATAGAAATATAATCCACACACTTCGTTAATGCTGTCAAATATATCTCATCAAATTTGGCCCTATGTTTTGGCAATGCACATTGGGACATAACTGGGACCAACTAAGTGGCTGGTACTAGCTGGGGTAAAGTATGTAAATCTCTAATCAATTCATCAATCAATCAATAAGCATTTATTAAGAAACTACAATGTTCCAAGCACTGTGCTTGCTTCTAGGAATATAAACACACACAGACACAGACACAGACACAGACACAGACACAGACACAGACTCACACACAGACACACACACACGCACACACACAGAGCTTGAGTTAGGACAGAGTTAATATCCTGTGTCTGGGGCTGTTCATCTTTAGCATATTACCTATCTGAAATCGGATTAGCAACTGACTTACCTATAGTTCATAGCCTCTTGGATTCAGATGCCCTGTTGTCACCCAGTTAACAGACCTGATCTGAAGTGTTCAAATTATGGCTACTCTCTTTCCATTTAAGCCTAGCTTCCTCTGTCTCTTTTAGACCTTAAGCATAAGAACTTCTCTAATTACTGGTGCTTGAGGTGATACATGAAACATGGGTTGTGGTCCACCTAGCCAAAAATATCACCAAACAGCTTTCTAGTGATGTACTGTACTCCTGTACTCCTTGTTAGACTAGTGCCTCAGAAAGCTGATACAGTCTGCTTCCAGACTATGAAGCTTTTCCAGTTTTGTAGATCTTATCAGGGCTTGCACCTTCACATCAAGGGATATTGACAGAACAGTGTAGTGGATAAAAAGCTGCCCTTTAAGTCAGGAGGACTGAGATTCAAGCTCTGTCTTAGCACAGAGTGGCTCTGGCACACGGGGTAAATCATCCTACCGCTGAGGGCCCCAGGCAACTCTTTAAGACTTCCAATTAAACAGCAGGGGCTGCATTGTCAGAATGATTTTTCTCATTGGGAACTCCCTATAACAAAAGAAATCACAGGCCGAGTATAAAAAAAATTATGAATAATGCTTATTTCAATTTTTTCTCTTAAACAGGGAAATATAGGAAAAGGGCCAGGTTATTATTAAATGTATTACTGAAATTTTATTTATTATGCTATACCTCAATGGTGTTGTATTTGATATAGTAGTGGCTAGCAGTCCTGCCCAAATCTGTTGAAGAAAAATATCCAGTCCGTTCTTCAAAACGAATCATTCGGGCTTTGTCTAGCTTTCGCCCAACTTCAATGACTAACTGTTCTCGATGTTTCTCCAATGTTGGGTCCATCTACAGAAGAAAGACACACACAGTGAATGATGAAATGTCATTTTTATTGGACTCCAATTTTCAAGTAGTTAGGTAATTATAAAAATTACCTAATTTTGTTACTGACATCTTATTTAGAAGACTAGGAGACACCTTTCTTTACTAGCATTACTTAAGAAACATATGTTCGATAACTTTACAGCTACATTTATGTAACCATTGAAAAAATTACATTATAACCATGAAATATAAAAAAGAACTGTACACTCAGAGAAATTATTTATTTATGTTATGACTGTGGCTATAATAATCTTTTAAAATATAAAATTAAAATTTGGCAAATCATTGATTGATCTGTGCCACTAGGCAGTCTTCAAATTTTGATATACTCAAACATGGTACCTTGCACACAATTTGTAGAATTGAATAGAAAACAAATAATGTGCATTCTTCCTCTACCATTTAACCCAATAAGAATTTTAAAAATGTAACATTACTCTTCTCTCATTAGTAGAAATGGGTTGCCTTCCAGGGTCTAGACTATATTGGTATTAATCCAAGTCATAAAAAAAAATGAATTTGTTAATTACTTTCTTGAAGTACAACAATATATTCTTTCACCATTTCCCCCTAATTGCTAATGGATACCTTTGTCTGTAGAGACAGTATAGCTAGCACTTATATAGCACTTTAAGGTTTGCAAAAACCTTAACAAATATTAACTCCTTTGATCCTCACAACAACCCTGTGAGATAAGTGTTGTAATCATTGCCATTTTGAAGAAACTGAGGCACTAAGAGGTTAAATATCTTGTCCAGAATCACACAGCTAATCAGGATCTGAGGCTGGATTAAAACTCGGGTATTTCTGATTCCAGAACCTATACTCTAGGGCTGCTAGTACTACTACTGCTACTGGCTAGCTAGCATTTATATAGCACTTTAAGGTTTACCAAGAACTTTACAAATGTTAACTCATGTAACCATCACAACAATGCTGGGAAGTAGATGCTGTTATTATCTTCACTTTACAGAGGACAGTAAAGTAGAGAGAAGTTCAGTGTTTTGCCTAGGGTCACACAGTCAGTAAGTGTCTGAGACAGGATTTGAACTCAGGCCACCCTGATTCCAGGTCCAATGCTCCATCACCTAACTGCCAAGGATGAAGCAGTAGTAACTACTATTTTGAATTGATTTTACACATCAACAAACCTTTCTTTTATTCTTGAAAACTTTAATCAAAGCAGTAGAATTTAGGAATAGATTTAAAAACAAAATCTGTACTACACGGTGGAGCAGCAGCCTGATGTAATATAGATAGAGAGCTGGCAGAAGATCTGGGTTCAAGCTCAGTCTCTGATGCTCACTGGTTGTGTATTCCTGGGCAGGTTGCTTAACCTCTTTAGTGCCCCAGACAATTTTATATGTTAAATTGTAGTGTAAGTGCTGATCTGCAGTGGTTGAGTTTCTTCACTGACATTTCCGTAAACCAATGACATCACAGATCTGAACTCTGTGTGTGTGTGTGTGTGTGTGTGTGTGTGTGTGTGTGTGTGTGTGAGAGAGAGAGAGAGACAGACAGACACAAAGAAGGAGAGACAGAGAGAGACAAAAAAAGAGAGGGAAAAGGGGGAAGAGTGAGAAAGGGGGAAAGAGGAAATGGGGAGACAGAAGAGGGAGAGGAAGGGATAGAGAGACAAAAAAAGACATACATACACAGGGATTACAGAAAAGTGACTTCAGTAGTTGTGTGTGATGAATTGGCATCCTATCAATAAAATGAGCTAAAAAGTAAAGACATTCGCTGCCTCAGGTTTATAAAATACAACATTTAGAAATCTTTATTAGTAAACCAGTGAATGAGAGTGAAATTACTTAAACTGAATTATCTAGCATGAACTTCACAGCTAATAGACACTTCACACTTAGTATAACAAAACATGTATTACTCATATACTCATTATAGTGAGACAGATATATCACTAATTGAGAGAGTTTTAAATTATGATAAAAAGATGCCATGTATTTTGGGAGGAAAAGAAAATTTTAAAAAATTAGTTCTCTTAAAATAGTAAAATGTATAGAAATTACTATTTTGCTCTTTATTTCATATCTACCTTATGATATAAGTATCTGTTTTTTGGATTTCTTTCCATGAAGCTTCTCAGAATATTTTCATTGGGGCATATACATTTGTAAACATAGTATTTTATTTTAAACTGTTCATATGCAATTTTATAGGTTATACACACATTGACTAACAATTAGTCAAAAAGTATTTACTGAGGTAAAGTACTAGAGGTAAAAAGAAAGTGAAAAACAGTCTTACCCTCAAGGAGTTACATTCTAATGTGGGAAATAAAATATAAGTAACCAGGTAGCAAGACACACATACACACACATAAATACATACATATATATTAGATGGAAGGTAATACCAGAATGGAAGGTACTAGCAGCTGGTGTTGTGGGAGACTGGAAAAGGAAAAAATCCAGGGAAACTAAGAGGTAGAGATGAAGAGGCAGAACATTTCAGGATTGGAGCTCAGGCAGTGGAAATTCAGAGGTTAGTAGATGGGGTTTCTTGTAAGGAACAACAGTAGTTTAGTGTACTTTTTTTTGTATCCCTAGCACTTAGCATAGAAACTGGCACAAAGGAGGCACTTAATAAATGTTTAGTGATTGACTGACTGATCCAGGACAGTCTTTGGGGACATCTATGGTTGGTGGACAAGACATGAAAAACTAGCAAAGGAGACAAAGAGAACCAGGAGAGAGTAGTGTTATGAAATCCTAAAGTGGAGTGAGTGTCCAGAAGGAAAAGGCAATTAACAGTGTCAACTGGGGCAGAGAAGTCAGGAAGTACCAGGATTTAGAAAAGGCAAGTTATCTAGCAATAAAGAGATCACTGGTAACTTTAAGTAAGGGAGACAGCAGAATATATTGGAAAGATCACTAGACTTGGAATTAGAAAATACACATTTGCATCCTACCTCTTGTCTGTGATCTTGGTTAAGTTATTACCTCCCTAAGCCTCAAATTTATTTATAATTTGAGGAGGGTTGAATTAACCTTTAAGATGTTCTACCTACTATCTATAAAATGAGAGATCCATTTGAAACTTGGTGCAGGTTTCAAACAATGAATGGTGATACCAAGACCATCAAGAATAATTATAAATGAGAAAAATCTACTGGATCTAGTTTGTAGTCTTTAAACTGGTTGTTTCTCATTTGTACCTCAATTTTACCATCTACAAATTTACCTCATGTGAATGCTGCAAAGAAGAATGAATGGAAAAATGACTAAACAGGTTGTTTGGACTACAAAAACATACCTAGTAAAAGAGCATATGTACACAGAAAAGTTTTTTTAAGTGCTTTTAAAGAAAATTATACGAATTATATTCAAAAGCATTCCCAGTGTCAGCAAAGTTGGGTGTTAGTCACCAATAGCTGATTAATGACTATCAAACAGTTCTTTATTAGAAAGAAACTTGACTTTAATCTATAATTAGGGAATATTTAAAAATACGGCTCTACAGAAAAGACACTTTCTCATTCTCCACAAGTCATGTAGACAACACAACTCTAAATATGAACCACAAAAAGATGATTCACATTATGTGTTCACATTCAATCATAAAATAAAACATTAAAAAAAAAAAGATCTCAATTCTAAAATTTAGAAAAAGAAAGCTCACAACATGCTATCTCTTAATTATGGATTGTGTGTTAAGAAGGGACTTGAAAAGAAGAATATATTATATGTAGCATAAGTCTATTATTTTCAAAGTTTTGCTAGGTTTTCTATTCTGACATTTCATAAAATGAAATTCTAATGAGTAGTAGAAAAAAATAAAATTTTAAATTGTGGAAATAAGAACATAACAGGTAACTTGTTGACGATTAATAAATTTATTTAGCAGTATAGTGGGGTAAAAGTTTTGAGAAAGAAGACCACAGACAGCAAAAATTGATTTTCCTTTGTACTTTTGATTAAAGATAAAAAATCTTTCCTTTATCTAGGCACATAACTGTTGTCAGATGAAGCGGCAATAGCAAATATTTAGCCTCATATCATGAATAGATTACAGAACCAGAAAGCAGATCTAATTTTTTAAAAAAATGCATTTTATACCTGATAGGCTTTGTGACTGATGCCATATACTAATGGATTTGCTCTCATCCGTACATAAAGATAAGTGTAACTTATCCACTTCACTGCCTCTTCCACATTAGTAACTGTTCCCAGAGCAATCTGCAAGTCCAAATATGACAAAAATTAAACATATGTTACAAGCAGAAAATCAAGAATATTTATTCATAAGCAAAGGGTTTAAATCAATCTATACTTTTAAAAGAAAGTGAACAATTTATAGGCATTTCTATTAATATTTAAAAGAAACTCCATCTCAGTTTGAAAATGCAATAATGAGCATGCTGTTTTCAAAATGAGTGGTGACTAGAGAAGTCCAAGGACTTGGGTTCAAATAATAGTGCTGCCACTTCTTAATTATGTGACCATGGGCAAGCCACTTAATGGATGGCAGTACAGTTTCCTCATCTATTAAATGAAGCTACAGGACTACATGACCTATTATCTATCTGCCTTTCAACTCTTAATCTTTGACCTTATATTTGGTTAATAATGTTTTTCAAATTGAGAATAAGGATATTTTTAGCCATCATTATTAAAATATGTTCTACTTGAAAATGAATTAAAAAAACAAAAAGTCTGAAACTTGTAAGTGAATTAATTTCACTATAACACACCATTTTTAAGTTCAGACTTCTTTACTGTATTGATATATATAGTCATCACAGATTATACCACTATTTCCCTTTTGAGACTCATACATACCACGTTTTCCAATATTATGTAAAAGCTTTATGAAAACAATTGAGCAAAATACATTGAAACTGTCACCATTTCCCTAGATAATATTTTATTAGGATGGTCATATAAAATGGTTTTTATTGGAATACTTCTCTTCACTAAATATATATAGTATCTCTAAATTATATATCAGAATAACGGAAATGTTATTTAGTCTTCAGTTTTTATAGCTGAATGTGATTTTTATCATAAAAAATGCATTTCAAACAAGTCCAATTTTAAATTTCATGTCTATTTTTAATTGTCAGCTTGAAGTAAAATCTAGTTCCTGATTTAGTATATTACTTTTACATCTATGACTTACACTTTACATAATTTTTTATAATTCACAAAAACCTTTTCTGGCCCAGATTTGTGATTCCATGAGTGCAGACAAATTCTCTCTGCCAATTCAGATCATTAACTGTTTTGCAAATTAGACTTAAAGTATTGCCTGGTAATTGGACTTGAACTAAGTCTTCCTGACTCCAAGGCCATCTCTCAATTCACTACGCCATAATGCTGCTTAATAAAAATAATTTCATGATAAATAATAACATTAAAAAAGTAAGTTAGATAATTTTGAACTTATCAATTCTGACAACTCCAAAATAAGTAGAAATGTATTTTTAGGCAATACAGAAGTCTTAGAAAACAAAAAAATTATGTCAACAACATGATTATGATACCAACAGCACATAAAGACAACAGATATACAAGTAATCACTTTTCCTTTAATTGAGGTTTTCCATTTCATTTTTTTAAAAAAATGCATCAACACAATGTATATGTTATTGTTCAATAATTTTATCCTCAAAACAAAAATTACTTTATCAAACTCCCAAATGTTTTGTGACTACTCACTTACATTCACAATGCATTTCCCCAAATATCCAAGAATATATATCTAAAATGGCCACCCACATTCCAGTGTCTCAATCTTTTTACATCTCTACTCTAATTGCTAACACAGAATCACAAAAGTAAAAGCAAAATCAGTATCATTATTTAATTATATGAATAAAGAAGTTATATAATGACATCAATGTATTTATTAACATACTTTCACTAGTATTCACCAGTAAAAGGGAGTAAGAGAAATGGCAGGAAGAATAGGAGAAAAGATATTATACACACACACACACACACACACACACACACACACACTTACATCTACTGTAAAAAATAATGTGATTTCAAAACCAAAAATAGGAATACTCTTTTGCATAAAATTTGACAAAATGGAGGTACAATTTATAATTTTATTCTCTTAAGGATTTCTTTACAGTAAGGGGGGGTATTAAATTCTATAATGGGTTAAAACAAGAAACGCTGTACAATTTCATTCCCTAGAGATCTTAAATAATAGGACAGACATCCATTTGTCTGGATTGCTTTAAGGGAAGTTAGTTTGAAGGCAAGGTTAAAGACCAGATGCTTTCTTAAGTTCTTTTCCAAATTTTTAACTGAAAGATGTAAAATGCTTTCTTATCACGGAATATGTTAAGACATTTAAAAATAATAAACCACTCTGAAATTAGATAATTTTATAAACAACAAAAAATTTACCATGCTCTTAGTATCAAAGAAAAAGAAATCAAGAATTAAAAAAAAAAATACAGTTCTAAGCAATTATAATAAAAGAACAGGGGGAATGAACTACAGAGTTAACAGAGATATGCAAAAGAAGACTTCTGGATATTTACAATAAAAGAAATGTATCTACCCAATGATAAAATTATTGCAGTGTATTTTTAGATGCCAATCCTTGATCGCCATCTAGTGACAAATATCAATAAGTACTTCTAAATAGTTACTGCAGGTCGTAGCTGTAGTGCACTTGCCTGATAAAATCTAAATTATTTTACAATACCTTCCGGTGATGAAACTTAAGAAAGTGGGAATTTGTTACCTTGTTTAACAAAGTAGGATAATCAACTGATCTTATATAAAAAAGCAAATATGTTATACTTTATAATTCTAATTATAAAATGCACCGAAAGATTGGTTTTAAAACAAACAAACAAAACACAGATATTATAAATTTATCTAGTACTCTCCAGCCTATTACAAAAATTACCCCAAGGCTTTCTAGATTTCTAAGCTTTAAAAAGCAGAGTAACAGAAGAAGAAAGCAAAAAACTGCCAAAAGTGATTAGATTTGTAAAAGATAATATCTAAAAGTATTTTTCTACTCTTGAGGATTCAGTTCTTGAAAATGTATCTGGTAGCATGGTGAGGCTCCTGTGGACTTCTTCATGAAAAGTTAGGCAAGAGTAAGGTAGAACTTAATGCTGCCTTCAATTAGGTCTTATTGCTACATACATCCAAAAGTCTGGAAGAAGTTTGTCTTTTTCTTCCTTTATTATCCAGTCTAGAATAGTCCCATCAAAGAAAGACTAGTCAAGTGCTAACCATCTATCCCACTTAATGCTATCCTCTAGCACCCTATTTGGGACAGTTCAGATTAAATTTGCATTCTCTACCTCAGTTCTATTAAACATATGCAATATTTTTCTAACAGTATTTTTCCTAGTTTTTTAAGAATGTGAAGTCGCAATGCCTAAAAGTGACATTAACATTAAAGACTAATGCCAGAGATTTTTATAACAATTTTTATTTAAAATCTTATTTCCAATCCTCTAATTTCTTGTTACTTGGTGTCTGGTTTTATGATTATTTCCTGAGTACACAGTGAATATTAAGAGTATAAAAATCCTAAAAGATAGGAATCACATCTTTGTGTACAGTGAGAATACTAAATGTTAAGCAATGATAATTTTCCCCTAAAGACTGTGTTAACTAAACAACTATATTTGATTTTATTGTAGTTCAATTAAAATAAATGCTTTACTTTAAACTTGGGTAACAGATACTTTTGTTTTCAAATAAATATTCAGTTTTGAGACACTGTGTTACATTTTCTTCTTTTTGATTTGAAAAATATATTTACTGAATCTATCTTTACCTATTCTCTGAAAATATATAAATCATAATAGAGGATAACAACAATATTATAGATAATTTTTCATAATTATTTTTCTAAGCATTCAAATTTTGTTATTTTGTGCACCAGAGAAATTCTAAGTTCTTGTAAGTACAGTTAAATTTGCTTTAGAATCTAAGAAAATCCAAAAAAATACAAAATCATGTAATATGTAAATAAATTGGTCTTTATTTGATGAATACAAATTTGAGGAATACAAAGAATCCTGAATCAAAGTCTCAATTGTTTATTTACTGCAATAAATGTTCAGGGGTATCTTGTTTACGTTTATGTTGGTTCTTGATGGTCTCTGAGTTCTCTTTCAACTATATAACTATGATTCTGGATTATACAACTTTTGGTATATAAGGATTATTGGTAATATGCTATAGGTTACTACCACCATGCAGGTTCCCATTATATTTTGAGTCACTTGCAATTTGATTCTACCAAAACCACACACAAAATTCTATTAATAGCAACATACAGTAATCTGAAAGGTCTTTTTCCTTATAGTTTTCTTTTTTAAATCAAAGATTACATGGATAGACCATTTTCCATATAGATTTTATAGTCATCTGAATTGGGAGTTGTTAATCTCTTCTTGTTCTGGCAACCTTGTGAATGGATGTAATAATAATATAGGTAATTTTTTCCCTTCTTTTAATATTTTTCCCTCATTAAAGTCTCAAAATTTAATCTCTGTGCTATATCTTTAAAAGTATATTTCTTCTGTGTCACATACTTGGTCAAGGTAGGCACATTTCCTCACTTTATTTTCTCATAAGCCATTTCCCTAAAAAACCATTAGGAACTGAAGTGTTAAAAGTCTAAATACGATGGCTCTGTTGCTACTGATGATGACAGAAGATTACTACGGAAATGCTGAAAAATACCTTCTACTTGATTTCTATTTGGTGTGCCCGTTACAATTTCAGTCAGTCATTCAGTCGGTAAACAAGCAATTATTAAGTGCTTATTCTGTGACAAGGTAATGTGCTAAGTTCTGAGGATATATGGCAAAAAATAATGTCTTCCCTTAAGGAGCTCAGCTTCTAATAGAGAAGACAACTACAAGCAATTATGTACATACATGATAAATATCTGGTAAATTGGAAGGAATCTCAGAGGGATAGCACTAACATAAAGAGGAGAACTGGTAAATTTTTCTGCAGAAGGAAGCCAGCAAAGCCAGGAGGTGTAGGGAGTGTATTCCAGGAATGAGGAAGGGTGGTTATGCATGGCAGAGTATGTAGAGGGGAGTTAGGCATAAGAAGACTGAAAAGGCTGGAGGGGGCCAACTTATGAAAAACTTTAAAAAGGCATTTTATATTTGACCCTAGATGTAATAAGAAAATCACTAAGTTTATGGAATGGGTGTGTGTGTGTGTGTGTGTGTTGTGCAAGTGCAGTGAGAAAGTACTTAGGGCGACACTCTAACTCCTCTTCATTTCTCACTGGGCTGCACTCCTTTTGACTTCCTTGGACTTCTCCATTATGTTCCCAGGAACCTCATCATCACTGAGAAATCTCATCATCTTGTAAGATCCAATCAGCCTTGGTACTCACACCTCATCAGTACCCTCTGTTCTTATTGAAGGGCAGAGCCATGGGCTCTAAAAACCTCCATTTAAGGAGTCCCAGGCCACTTATTTTTTCATTTGTGACCTGGCTACAGTACTTGAACATGTCTCTGTAACTTCCCACAGAACACTGTTTCATAAGGATCCAGTCCCAGTCAGTCTGTGGCCTTTGCCTTCATCCCTGGGTCTTCCCAGGGAGCCTAGGATTTTAGACTGATAGGTTGTGGCCTCTTCCTTGATTCCTGTACCAGTATGGATTCATTCCTCAGTCCTCTGGCTTCTTTGCTATAGAGCCTTCTCCAGTGCTCAAAAAGCCATTTTCACAATAGAACCACTTCGATTTGCCAGCAACTTCACCTGCTCCTTCCTATTGTGAGGGGAGCCTTCAGAGCCTTGGGATTTTACGTCACCACCTGCCACAGGGGTGAACATCACAGGGGGGCCCTACACAGTCTAATCACCTCTCTCCCTCAATGGACTTTGTTCCAGACACCGATAATCTTCCTGACTTCATTCCTCAATGGTTAGCTTTTGTCCACAGTCTCATCCTCTCCCTCTCCCAGTGATTCTGAACCCCTGGATGTCATATTATAAACCCCTTTTCCTGTCCCCTCTGCTTTCTCCCTTACTCCTATCCCCCTCAATCCATCCCCTTCTATATCTTACTCCTCCATGTGCTACTTCACTTCTACCCATGCCTTCCACTGTGCTCTCTGGAATGCCTGTGTGGTCTATGGCTACCTCTACTTTTTATTTGACAAGATTATATATTTTCCAACTGAAGTCATTTCTGTGCTTGGTTGGCTTCAGTGACTTTTAGTGTTCTGTGGCTGCAAATCTTAAAATGCCTCAATCTCTCAAGAATTCGACTTGAAAGAAACCCAAAGGGCAATGGAAAGTCATACAGAGGATATAAACAGAATGAAAAATATTTCTAATCATGTACAAGATCTTCATTTAGCAAGACATATGAAAGGAATGCTACAAAAATAATAGATTTCTCTGATTTACTAAGGGAGGAAGAAGATCTAGAAAGAGAAATTCTATTCAAAATAAATAAAAATAATTTAAATACATGGGAGCTAACCTAGCAAGACATTATTGGAACTTAAAATAAATCTTCAAATCACTTTTTATAAAAATTGACTCAAAAAATTAAAAAGATTTTCTATTGAGGGCAGATTTCTGCCAATATACTAAAAATGATAATAACACCTAAATTAAGCGATTGATTTAGTGTCATATCAATCAAACCACCAAGGAAGGGGTCATTTTATGGATCTAGAAAAATAAAATGACATAATTAATTTTAGGGGAAACCAGAAAGCAATCTGGCATAAAATTCATTTAGACCAGTGTGTTACACCATATTCCAGAAGAATCCCCAAAAGATATATGGCTTAAGTACAAAAAGTCACATGATTAAAAAAAAAGTAACAACAAAGAACAGGAGGAAGAACTATTCACAACTATAGTTAAAAGGAAGAATTAGTAACCAAAGTATAAAGCAGATCCCAACAGATTAAAATCACATTAAATTAAAAGGTATTTGCATGAACAAAAATAAGAGTAGAATGTGTTGTATTAGGGGAAAATTTTTTTTAAACAAATATTTCTGATGAAAATCTGATTATTTCCAAAATACAAAAGGACTATTATCCTATAATCTTCATTTTCAAAATGGAATTTTTTCTTCTGGATAATGAAAAACAGAGAAATAAAATACCACTATTTCTACCAACTAAGAAGGTGAGGATTTTCATTGGAGAGAAAACATGGATTAATGTAAAAAGCTAAGGAACTGGAATTATAAAATCTTGGTTTAGGCCTAGACTTTGCTTCTTGCTAGAGGTATAACTGTAGGTATGTCACTTAACCTGGAGAGTCTCAGTTTATTTATCTGTAAATTCGGATTGATAACTTACACTCTTTACATTTGTGAAGAAAACATTTAAAACATTATATAAATGTGAACTATTGTTATTTTGTTGTTCCCTAAAAAGTTACTATGTGACACCCAACAAAATTTTTAAAAAATCTAACAGCTATAATAAAGCAGATAAAACAAACAGATATTGAATATGATATGTGGCATCTCAAAAAATATATTGAAAATAAAACTATTAGCTGACAAGAAACAAAATAAAAGGCCTTACTAATTTATTTGACTGAATTTTGGTAAACATTTAAACAATTTTATAGTATAGAACTCTTTTTTATGTGAACATGCATGCTAAACTCTGGAATTTATTTATTTTTTCACACTAAATGGGAGAATATGTGGAATATTTAAATCTGGATTAGCCATTCTGTAGATCACATGAGAGGTTTTCATACTGCTTTTCTGTACAATGACATTTATGGTTCCAATAAAAATATGCCAATTTTGAAAAAGCCCTACTCAGATGAGCATTGTTTTTCTATTTGATTTGTCTGACCTCTTCCCAGGAGTATCCAGGTCTTTCAGCAAGCTACTGGTTTGTAAGATGACAAGTAGTTATCATTAATCAGATCTTACCTCTGCATTCAGATTATCAGCAAGGCTTTCCAAAAACTGGCTTTCAATGGGATTCTGTTGAGTAAGTAGGGTCAGGTAATGGCTGAGTTTATCATGAGTTGTTATGATTATGCCTTCCCCAAATTTATCAAATTGTGGCCTTCCAGCTCGACCAAATATCTGCATGACATCTAAAATTCCAAGGTCAACAAAGGAACCTCTTTTTGCAGCATATATTTGTGTTCCCTGGATAAAGAAAAAGTTAATAAAAATTAACATAAACACATACAAACATAATCCTGATGAGATGAATGCAGAAATGAGGCAAATACGCTAAGATTTCAAAAGTGTACTTTACTTAATCCTATCACAATCGATAATATAGTTAAATTTTTATAATACATACGAGATTCTCAATGAAGAAAACCATTTAAAGTCAATCAGACCATCTAAAATACAATATTTTTCAGGGTGAATGGTTTTATAGGTTTGTTTTAAAACAGATACATATCCATGTGAGAAGGATAAGCTCATACCTTAATAATAACAGCATGAGCAGGGAGATTGACACCCCATGCTAATGTAGCTGTACAAACTAGAACTTTGATATGTCCATGAGAAAACAAATTTTCAACCAAACTTCTGTCCTGTCGAAGCATTCCAGCATGATGAATACTAAAGCCATCTGGAAACATTTCTCGCAACTGCTTATTTCTGGACTTTTGTACCTGCAGTAGGTAAAAAACAGAATTTATTGTGAAAAAAATGTTCCCATCATTTAGTGTCACTGTTGAATGTTACACTTCTTCCCACTAAAAGTCTCTTAGGCAATTTAGTGTCAGTTTTCCAAATTATAATCAACTCTAGACTATTTAATGAAGCTAATGGTGAAGGTCTTATAAAACTGGTTAGCCTATGAAAAAACTTTCATGACTGTGCCAACTGGAAAGTCTTAGAGATGGAGATAAATGAGATAGGCAAGGAGCTGAAAATATAGTCTATAATAAGAATTCTTAGTTTTATGATATTTATATTCCATAACTGACACCAGTGAAAAGACAAATACAATTTTCCTCAACTAACAAATTAGAGAAACACCCGCCAAAAACCCAGCAAAATAAAAATTAATATGTGACAATGAAATATGTAAACAATATTCCAAAAGAAAAGCAAGGCTATGAAAGGGAAAGTAATTATGATTAGGTGATCCCTGGAAGCTGCAAGAAAGATAGCTAAATGGTGAATATGAAGCTCGCTGGGACAGCCATGGAATGTCTGAATAACAGGGAAATAAGTGGTACCTGAAGAGAAAGAGCTGACTGTACAGGCAAAATTTCATTATAATGAGCTTCATAGGGCAGCCATATATGCCTTTTAGTTGAATTTTGTTGTAATGCATGTATTGCTAGAAATCATACTCCTAGTCTTCAGGCGGTGGAGGCAAAGGAGAGCTGATTCCCAACCTCCCTGTAGTGAGACAATAAGTGAAAAGAAGCCTGAACCCAGTAGGGAAGAAGAGATGTGTCATGTGCTCCAATCATCTCTGTTATTCTAAGTTCTTATATCTGAGCTCCTAGTGTTTCTTTTGTGAGTCAATTAATTTTTTTTTTAATTCTAGTGTTCTGAGAACACAAATGTGAAGTTAACAAGTATTTATTAATCACCTATTATGTGCTAGGCACTATGTTAAGCACTGAAGGCACAAAGTAAGGCAAAATAAAACAGTCCTTGCTCTCAAGGAGCTCACAGTCTAATGAGGGAGACAACATGCTAACAGCTACATAAAAACTATTTCTGCTTCTTCTTCTCTCTATATACATATATAAATAAATAAAAACACTTAAGACAAATCAGAGATAATCTCAGAGGCAAGGCACAGAAAAACTGGGCAAGGCTTCTTGCAACAGGTTACTAGGTAACATGGTGGACAGAGTGCTGGGTCTGGAGTCAGGAAGACCTGAGTTCAAATTTGTCTTCAGACACTTACTAGCTGTGCAATCTTGGGCAAGTCATTTAGCCTCTGTTTGCCTCAGTTTCCCCAACTGTAAAATGAGGATAATAATAGCACCTATCTCCCAATGAGGATTTGTAAAGCACTTAGCACAGTGCCTGGCCAATAGTAGACACTATATAAATGCTATCATCCTCCTCATCATCTTAAAAGGTGAAACTTTAGCTGGGACTTGAAGGAGGCCAGAGAAGCCAAAAGTTGGAGATGACAGGCATGGGGAACAGTCAGGAAAAATACTTGGAGTCAGGAAATGAAGTGTTTTGTGCAAGGATCAGTAAGGAGGTCAGTGTCACTGGATCACAAAAAACACAGATGGAGGGGACTAAGCTATCAGAATACTGGAAGGTAGAAGGGGAGCCAAGTTATGAAGAGCTTTAAAAGGCAAAGAGAGGATTTTATATTTGATTCTTGAGTTAATAGGGTGCCATTGGATTCTACTAAAAAGGGGGTTGTTGCTGTGACATGGTGAGAACTGTGCTTTAGGAAGATCTTTTGGTAGCTGACGGGAGGATAGAACACTTTAGGCTAAAAGACTAATCATAGAGTTACTGCAATAGTCTCTGTGTGAAGTGATGAGGGCTTGCACCATGGTGGCAGTGTCAGAGAAGAGAAGGGGAGTATACCAGATGCTGTAAAAGCACGATCTACAGGATTTATCAACTCACTGGATAGGGGGATGAGAGAGAGTGAGAAGTTAAAGATGATACAAGTTGTGAGCCTGGGTGATTGGGAAGATGATGGTATCCTCAACAGTAAAAGGAAAATTAGAAAAAGGAGAGGATTTGAGGGAAAAAATAGTGAGTTCGGTTGAACTTAAAATGTCTGCAGGACATCAGGTTCAAGATGTTTAAAGGCAGTTGGAGATGAAAGACTGGGGTTGATAAAGAGGCTAGGGCTGGATACATAGGAGCTGATTAGAACACCGCAGTGAATATCATAGAAGGAGAAGAGAAGAGAGCCCAAGAGTTTGGGGGATACCTCCAGTTGGCAAGCATGACCTGGCTGAAGTTCTAGCAAAGGAGACTGAGAAAGAGCAGTCAGAAGGAAAACAGGGAGAAAACTATGTCAAAAGAAAGCTTAGGAAGGAGAGAGTATCAAGCAGAGATTGATCAACTATGCCAAAGGCTGTAGAGAGGTCAAGAAAGATTGCAAAAAGGCCATTAACTTTGGTAATCAAGAGATCAATGGTAATTTTAGAGAGAGCAATTTCAAATGAATGATTAAGTTGAAAGAATGCAGAGACAGTTAAGAAGAAAATGAGAAGTAAAGAAATGAAGGCATTGAACTCAGTTTGTTGAGATATGAAAGGAAGAAGTATCATACTAGATGATACCTAGTGAGGATGGATAGATCAAGTAAGGGTTTTGTTTGGTTTTTTTGAGGATGTCTAATATGTTTGAGATGAAGATATTCGCCTAGATTTGAAAATTGCTACTTGACAGAACGTCAAAGCCCATGAACAGGTCAGCTTTGGTTTAATTCACCTTACCTCTTTTATTCCCTTCTCTAATGTAGTACAAACTTCATAAACCGGGTATTTGCCTTAGGCATTTTGTACATTGATAGAAATCAAACATAGGCATGATACATGCCTATTAAATGTAAGAGAATTTGCTTTAAATAGATAATGAAAGCACCATTATTACTGGTTATCAAGTAGACCTTAGACCTACTGTCATAGTAGGCCATCTAAGATAATTAATCTATAATAAGTTTTTCCACTGAGATGGAATATTTATAGGTATTGAAATAACCATTTGAAAAACCATCAATCCTTCTTCCATACTACCAAGTATAAAGGCTCTTTTGGAACACATTACAGTTATTCTAGACAAATACAGAAACAACGGGGGGGCAGAGCAAAGATGGTGGAGTGAAATCAGTGACTTGCTTGAGCTCTCCTCCAAACCCCTCCAAATACCTGTAAAAAAAATGGCTCTAAACAAATTCTAAAGTAGCAGAACCCACAAAAAGACAGAGTGAAACAAATTTCCAGCCCAAGACAACCTGGATGGTTGATCGGAAAGGTATATCACACCGGGCAGGGAAAGGAGCGCAGTGCGGCATGGGCACGCAGGCCTCAGTGACCCTGGAGCAGGCCTCAGAGGACTGAATCACGGGCAGCTGTGGCAGTTTCCAGACTTCTCAACACATGAACGCCAAAGACAACTTAGAAGGTCAGTGGGAAAAGTCTGTGACTGCAGTGAGAGAAGGAGCTAGGTGTCAGCTGCAAGTCCCAAGCGTGGCCTCTGGGGCAGTGGCTGCCTCCTGACCTTCTGGCCCACAGACTGAGGGGGAATCGAGTGGCTGATAAGAGGGGGATTGCAAGGATCTCTTTGCCAGTGCTGAGGCAGGAATCTCTTGCTCTGCCTGTGCTTGGATCTGGGTCACAGTTCTGAGGGGGGGGTCCTGGGGTAAGGAAGAGCAGTGGTGTAGTGGAGCTTGTTGTGGCAGTGGAGAGGAAACACCTCGCCCCTTATCATTCCACCTTGGAAGAAGTGAAAATTTACAGGTGCCTAGAAGTATCTCTGAAAACAGCTGTACAAACCCCCGAAGCTTGGGACAGTATATTCTCCACATTGGAAGCAGACTCTTACCTTAACAAAGAGTTTAAAACTCAAGTAACTGGCCAAGATCATGAGTAAGTAGCGCAAAGAGAGTCAGACTATATTATCTTACTTTGGTGACAAAGAAGATCAAAACATACAACCAGAAGAAGACAACAAAGTCAAAGCTCCTATATCCAAAGCCCGCAAGAAAAATATGAATTAGTCACAGACCTTGGAAGAGCTTAAAAGGGATTTTGAGAAGAAAGCAGGGGCAACTAGGTGGTGCAGTGGATAGAGCACCGGCCCTGGATTCAGAAGGACCTGAGTTCAAATCAAGTCTCAGACACATAACGCTTACTAGCTGTGTGACCCTAGGCAAATCACTTAACCCCATTACCTAATCAAAAAAAAAAAAAAGAGAGAGAAGCAAGTAAGAGAAGTAGAGGAAATACTGGGAAGAGAAATGAGAGTGATGCAAGAAAATCATGGAAAAACAACTCCACAGCTTGCTAAAGGAGACCCAAAAAAATACTGAAGAAAATAACACCTTAAAAAATAGCCTAACCCAAAGGGCAAAAGAGGTCCAAAAAGCCAATGAGGAGAAGAATGCCCTAAAAAGCAAAACTGGACAAATGGAAAAGGAAGTCCAAAAGATTACTGAAGAAAATACTTCCTTAAAAATTAGAATAGAGCAATTGGAAGCTAGTGACTTTGTGAGAAATCAAGACACTGTAAAACAAATCCAAAAGAATGAAAAATTAGAAAACAATGTGAAATATCTCACTGGAAAAACAACTGACCTGGAAAATAGATCCAGGAAAGAGAATTTAAAAATTATTGGACTATCTGAAAGCCATGATCAAAAAAAGAGCCTAGACGTCATCTTTCAAGAAATGATCAAGGAAAACTGCCCTGATATTTTAGAACCAGAGGGCAAAATAGAAATTGAAAGAATCCACCAATCACCTCCTGAAAGACATCCCCAAAGGAAAACTCCTAGAAATATTGTAGCCAAATTCCAGAGTTCTCAGGTCAAGGAGAAAATATTGCAAGCAGCCAGAAAGAAACAATTCAAATATTGTGGAAACACAATCAGGAAAACACAAGATTTAGCAGCTTCTACATTAAGGGACCACAGGTCATGGAATATAATATTCCAGAGGGCAAA